GCATTTAATTAGGGGATGCTTATAGTTTCAGAGGGTGAGTCCATGAACATTGTGGTGGGGAGCATGGCAGCAGGCAAGCAGGCATGGTGCTGGAGCAGTATCTGAGAGCTTACATCCTGATCTGTAAGTTGGAGGCAGAGAGAGATAGCCTGACCCTGGCATGGTCTTTTGAAACCTCAAAGCTCACTCCTAATGATACATCTCCTTCAACAAGGCCAAACCTCCTAATCCTTCCAAAACATTTCCACCAACTAGGGACCAAACATTCAAATATATGAGCCTATGGAGGGCACTCTCATTCAAACCACCACAATGGGGCTCTTGAGGATGACCAAGAAGTAGACTCAAGGGTGCTATTTGCCCTCAGACCTGCTCTCCACTGTCCTGTGTCTGGTGTTCCATCTTAGGAAGCCAATTCTGTCAGCAGTCCCTAACCCATCAACATCCCTACCCAGGCCAGGCTACCACTGGGGATTATCCTGCAAAAAAAATGATAGTAAGGGGATGTGTGAGCTGGGTACTGTATGCTAAGAGCTCTGTGCTCCTCTACTGGTCTCCCTCTCCAGCATAAATTGTCTTTTTGTCCAACAACTCTCCTACCATTTACTTTGTGTTCCATTTGTTCATTGCTGGGACTTTGTGTAACAGAAAGTCCCTCCAGGTGGTACTTTTCCTATATGAAGCTGCTTTGTGCTCACCCCTGCATGAATGGGTATTTATAAGCTCTTTCTGGAAAAGACCATGAGCTCCACCAGGAGGCTCCACTCACTTTAGTGTCTTGTAATGAAGGCTGCAATTTGGTCCCTGGGTTGGTGGTCTCATATCAGAATCAATTTAGCTAGCTCCCACAGGGTTTCCTTCAAGCTTTAGCAGTATTAGCTCTTGGCTAGTAAAACCCATCACTGCTGTTTCAGCTCTCACCAGATTCTAGCCCTCATGGTTCCTTTTACAGCTAACCTTTCATGGCAGATAATGGCTGACCTCTATCCTTTAGAAAGCCTGGGTGAAGTGTGTATATGGCTCTTGCATTGCCACTGGGCACCCTGCCAGGCCTGGTTTAGTCAAAGCGAACTTGACTTCTAGGGCTCAGTTCAAGACTCCAGACTCAAATCTGAGCACAAGACTAGATCTTCTTCGAAGGGATCATATAAAGGCTAAACTCAGTCTCCTTAGTTCTCTTTTGCAAACTTCTATGAAACTACAGGCAACAGCTTCAAAAGTCTGGTCTGAGGGTTGACCTTGGCCAGGCCAGGCACTTGTTACCTCAAGGCCTACAGGAACTCCTACAAAGCTCCAGGATCACTCTGGCTCCCAAGTCAAGTCATCCTCTGACTGAGGGTGGGAAGCAGGATTGGGATACTAGGTGGACTATTTCTTACTCCCCATAGATCCCTAGGTATCCCTCTTCTTGTTAGTATCCTGACTTAGTGCCTGAGCAACACCAATAGTCCCTCTATATATAGAGACCTAACTGACTTTTCCACTCACTGTTCTTGTCTTCTCTAGGTGGCAAAGCAACAGAAAGAATCTGAGTCCACCCAGAAGGCCGAGAGGGAGGTGACACGAATGGTGGTGGTGATGGTCTTTGCATATTGCCTCTGCTGGGGACCCTATACTTTCTTTGCATGCTTTGCTACTGCCCACCCTGGCTATGCCTTCCACCCTCTTGTGGCCTCCATACCATCCTACTTTGCCAAAAGTGCCACTATCTATAACCCCATTATCTATGTCTTTATGAACCGGCAGGTAAGCAAGAGCATGAGCAGATCAAATTCAAAATGGCCCATAACTCAGTGAAGGTTTTTACCTGGAATCAAGCCATCAATGAGAAAGCTTTATGGAGAACCTGGGGGTGGGGACTGATGATATGCCTCCAAGAAAACGAGTGTGAGAAGGCTTTGCATGTGATCCACCCTCTCCAGACCTCCTCTCAACCATGAGCTCTGTTATCCTTGCACCGTCTCCACCTGAGTCTGGTACTTAAGAAAGTGCAGTGCACTGCAAGTTCTTCCCTTCTGATGACCCCACAACTATGGACAGGAATCTTCAAAGGGTGCTGTTATAATCCAGATGTACTAAGCACTCAGTGAGCACGCAATGACACTAGCTAGTTCTGCTCCTCTTGTGTTTACAGATTCAACTCAAAATTTTCCCATTTTCAAACCTTGACTTTGGGATTTTTGCCTCCTTATAAGTTTAACCTTTCTTAGCTATACTAGATAAGAGATCAAGAGCTTTTATGAGCTCATGAATTAGTTCAGAGAGAGCATGCTATGGCTTTGTCCAAAGTCTTATCTGATGGCAACTATCCTTAACTATCATATCCACATATCCACATATCATGTGGACTTTGACACAAGTTGCTCATGACTCTTAGACCATCCTGGTAGGTTATAGGTGAACCTTAAGAGGTTCATCACCTTCTGAGTGCCATTTGCTTTCCTCTTCCTTGAATCCATCACATGCACTTCATTAAGGGGTATCTACTGTGTGAGTTATTAGTAATCAGAAGTGTTCCCTGGGGCCTCTCATTTCATCAGACTCTGTGAGTCCTTCCAATTGACTCCACTTTCCTCTATTGTCTTCCTTCCTCTGGTGCTTGGGATGGAACACAAGGTCTGGTGCATGCCAGGCAAGTGTCCCACCCCAGATCTCCTCTGCCAAAAACTGAAAGCAATTCTAGAAAGAGATCCTTGTGAAAGACAGGAAACAAAGGTGGCCAGGTGTGCAAATTTTACTTTCACTCCTTCTGCTTTATTCCAAGAAAATTGATGTAGAAGTAACCGTCTTATTAAATAAGAAACACAGAGCCAATGCAAAGATGAAAGCCCAAGAGGTCAGAGCTAAAAGCCTTACCCTTCACTGTTGCAGCTATCCTCTTCAGCCAAAAGAGCTACTTCCTATGTGTTTGTCTTTATATAGACTTTCTGTTCTGCCTTCTCATTGGTTGTAAACCCAACCACATGACCTCCTGGTCACTGCCCATCTGTACAGACCTCCAGGTCTTCTATGGTTGGTATTGAGATTAAAGGCATGTGTCTCCATGCTGGCTGTATCCTTGAACACACAGATATCCGCCTAGCTCTGCCTCCCAAGAGCTGGGATTAAAGGTGCACCACCACTGCCCAGCTTCTGCTATGGCTTGCTATTAGCTCTGATCCCCAGGCAACTTTATTTATTAACACACAAATAAAATCACATTTCAATACAAATAAAATATCACCATAAATTGGAACAGGGGATTTCATTCTTGTTCACTGCTATCTCCCTCCAGAACAGAGTCAGGCATAAAGTGAAAACTCAGTAAGTAGATGTTGAATGAATTTCTTGCCTTATCTGCCAGTTTTTCAGCCAAGTTCATGTTGTTATTTAGCCCATCTCTAATGTTATCAATGTCAACACTTAAGTATTTTCATTTTGAGAGTTTTTTTTAAATTTATTTATTTATTATGTATACAGAAGAGGGCACCAGATCTCATTACAGATGGTTGTGAGCCACCATGTGGTTGCTGGGAATTGAACTCAGGACCTCTGGAAATGTAGTCAGTGCTCTTAACCTCTGAGCCATCTCTCCAGCCCCCATTTTGAGAGTTTTAATGTGAGAGGGAATGGAGATAGTCATAAATAGAGCTGAAATTAGTGACACTTCTACTTTGGGTTCTCAAAGCTTTGTAGTTGAGCTCCTTTAGATGGCATTGGTTTTGGTCACTGCCTAAGTATCCTGAGGCTACCACAATAAATTCCACAAGCTTTGTGGCTTAAAACCACACAACTGTAGTTCAGTGACAGAGTACTTGCCTAACATACACAAAGCTTTAGGCTAAGTTCCTAGCTCAGCAACAAACAAGCAAACAAAACAAGAAAATAGGAATCAAGTTTCTCACAGTTCCAGAGGCCAGAAATCTGAGGTCTAGGTATCAGCATTATTATTGTTCCTTCTGGAGGTGCTGAGACAGTATCAGTCTTATCTCTCTCTCCTAGCTTCCCTTGTCCTACTACTCACAAACATGCTGTCCCAATATTATTCTTCACATAGTCATTTCTCTGGATGCTAAATATTATCTAAATCTTCCTCTTCTCACAAGAACACTGGTCACTGGACTAGTGACAATGCTAATCCAGTATGACCTCATTGTAACATACATGTGCAAAGACTCCAGTTCCAAAAAAGGTACAGTCATAGGTTCCAGTAATTAGGATTTGGCATTTTTTAGGAGCAGTCACAATTCAACTAGAATCACCATTAACCACTAAATTAGATGATTCAGTCCTCCTCTATCCATATGTGTAAAGAATATGATGTAAAAGTCATCCCACTCATAGTATTCCAAATGGGAGAAGGGAAGGTGTACATCCACAAAGTGACAGTACCAAATACCCCAAGCCTCACCTTTAGCACAGTGCACTAGCTGTTTCTGCTTTGCTGAATAATGTTTTCTGTCCTTCTAGTTTCGAAACTGCATCTTACAGCTCTTTGGAAACAAAGTTGATGATATCTCTGAACTTTCCAGGACCTCCAAAACAGAAGTCTTGTCTGTCTCTTCGGTGTCACCTGCATGAGGTCTGCCTCCAACCTGTCCCATCCACTAAAGCTTTAGCCATGTCTTACCTCCTTTCTCCTCCATCATTATGAAATAAACATAATTTCCCCTTGCCCAATCAAAGTTCCAGAGATGACTACTACAATTTGGGGTTATCTAAGCTACTGGGTGTTCAGGCACTGGGCCTGGAGAGAGTACAATGTAGACAAAGAGACCAGAACATATGGTTTCTTTCATTTTTAATCCAATCCCCATGTCTATAGATATTATGAAAAGATCATGGAAAATTGGAAGGAGAAGGCAAGTTGGCATCTGCATATATCTCACTGGGCTGGTGGTTACAGAATTAAGAAAATGAGGACAACAAAGTAGCTCTCTAGGGAAGGCTTACTGGATGTCCTCAACATCTGGAAAGAGGGAAGTCATGAACAAATTCAGATGGTTGAGACGACTTGCCCTTCAGTGTCCATCTAATAGAGGCTTAGCATCCTTGAAGTCTGGTCTCCATTTAAAGGGAACCCAGGCCTGCCAGTCCATGATGGAGATGATATGCCGCTTCTGCCAGGCCAAAATTCCAAGGCCAATCAACACAAATATGGTGAATGTGCGCAGGCGTGAGTTGAGCAGGGGCAAGGGGCAAGAACACAAGGTAGAGACCAAGACCAAGAGGATAGTGGTCAGTGTAAGAAGCAGGCTTATGAATCTGAACAAAAAGTCCTTGGGACGGGTTCTGATGCTGGCCATCATCTCCAGTTGGGTAGCTTGCTGTAGAGTTTCTAGCTTGGCTATTCTGCTCTTGAAAGTCTCCATTACATCCTGTAGGTAACAAACACATATACTCACCAGATGTCAGAACAGAAATGTGTTTATCTAATTTAGTAATTTATTTGCTTAGGGGTGTTCAAGAAATACTGTTGAAATAAAAAAAAAAGTTTTATTTATTTATTTATTTATTTATTTATGTGTTTGTTTATTTGAGACAAGATCTCACTGTATAGTTCCAGCTGACCTGAAACTTGCTATATAGAAGACAGGGCTGTTCTCAAACTTAGAGATCTGCTTGCCTCTTCCTCCCAAGTCCTGGGATTAAAGGCCTGTGCCATCACACCTGATGAGTTGAATCTCTTAGGAGAGAAAGGGAGAACTTCTAGGACATGCACAGTGGAGACAAGACAGTTGTTGTGCAGTGCTGGGCTAATGGGTCCTGGTCCTTATCTACTGCTGAAACTGAGGACCTAGGTGGGAAAGGGATAATCAGGGACAGGAGTAGGAGCTATGAGTGTGGCAAGGACTAAGGGGCAGGAAGGTAGACCCAAAGAAAGGGTTCCCAGAAGCTTTCCCTCTACTAGCAATGCAAACACCTCAGCATCCCTTGGGCTTGTCAGGCTTTACCCCTCCCTGATCTGTAGCTCACAGACTCTAGGCTATGGCTCAGTGATTGCCCTGACAAGATGAGAAGCACAGTCCAAAGTTCACAAAGCAGCTTGGTAAGGAGTGGAGCTTACACAGACATGCAAGGTAAACACTGTTGGTTCTAAAGCACCACCAGGTAGTCACAGCTACAAGATCTTCTCTTGCCTTGGCTTGGGAGCATACAGATAGATTCACTCATCACCCCCCGCCCAGCCCTTTCTCCCTGAGGCCCTCACCCATATTTCCTTGGCTTTTTCATAGGACAAATAGGCCATTTTCTCTTCAGTGTATGCCAAATGCTGTTTGAGGTGGCAAATCTCATCCAGGTATCTCTGCAAGTGATCATTCACCTGTTCTTCCATCAGTGATTGTCTAGAAAGCAAGAAGGAAAGTAATATTCCCTCTGTAGCTTACTCAGAGCTCATGCTAGCACCTTGCAGCTAGATTTACTACCCCTACCCCCACCACGCCTCCCACTAGAATTTAGTCAAATATGGCTGCCTCCTCTACCTCTGCTTGGGAATACTTACACTGATAGACATTATTTACAATTACTGTCTAGTAAAAGTCTTACCAAATGTGCCATAGACTAAAAAGTGTAGAAAAGAATTTTTTTTTTTGGTTTTTCGAGACAGGGTTTCTCTGTGTTGTTTTGGTGCCTGTCCTGGATCTCACTCTGTAGACCAGGCTGGCCTCAAACTCACAGAGATCCACCTGCCTCTGCTTCCTGAGTGCTGAGATCAAAAGGCATGTGCCACCACTGCCCGGTGAAAAGAAAATTTATTTATTTATTTATTTATTTATTTATTTATTTATGTTTTTTTGGAGCTGAGGACCGAACACAGGGCCTTGTGCTTGCTAGGCAAGCGCTCTACCACTGAGCTAAATCCCCAACCCATTTTTTTTCTTTTCTTTCTTTCTTTTTTTTTTTTTTTTTTTTTTTTGGTTTTTCGAGACAGGTTTTCTCTGTGTAGCTTTGCGCCTTTCCTGGAACTTGCTTTGTAGACCAGGCTGGCCTCGAACTCACAGAGATCTGCCTGCCTCTGCCTCCCAAGTGCTGGGATTAAAGGTGTGCACCACCACCGCCCCGAAAAGAAAATTTAAGCTATCTGTACATGCTATCAAATCCCCCAAACATTCCCAGGAGCAGTATTAAGGTTGCCGTAGTTACTCCATAAATGTGTCTCTATTATAGAGCATGGAAAGTTACAAAAGACCACACTGAGTAAAATTCCATTTGTATGCAATGTCCATAAACACGAACAGATGAGTGGATGCCAGGGGCTGAGAATCAGGGTGACAAGGAATGACTGGTAATAGGCTTTATTTTTTCAAGGACGATAAAAATGGAGATTAGACAGTGGAGCAACTAGCTGACTGGAATGGAGTAGAGGTCAAAGCCACTGGGGCCTGAGAGTCCAAATTGTCTAATGGGATTCTTGCCCTTTCAGTCCCATCTGGCTCTGAATAATACCCCTGCCAGACTGTGCTACCTCTATTTACCCCATAAAGGGGTTCCATGTCAACTGGCAGCAGATTAATCAATTCAACCTGCTCCATTCTCTCTCCACCCTCATTACAGTCTTAGATGTTCCAATCATCAACTGGTGCCTACTGTGCTTTCTTTGATAAATCCAGAGTTTCATGAAGCAAAGCTAGCAACATCTTGAGGCAGTGTGAGGAAGAATGAGCTGCAGAACTTGGGTGACACATTCCCACTTGTAAAGTGTGTCATATAAAGTAGGAGAAATCAGCAAAAGAACAAGAATAAAACCAAGGGATTCACAGAAAGAACAGCATTTAAAAAGCAGGGCTGAAAGCGAGTAAAATTACACACAGCATCATCACAGCGAAACCTTTGAACACCAAAACAGAGCAAGTTCCAAGATAGTCAAGGCTACAAAGAGAAACCGTATCTCCAAACAAAACCCTATAAACTCAAAAAAAAGAGCCAGAGGAAAATAAAAATAATCATATTTAAAGCATCATCATCAAAACAGCAGCAGCTGGTGGACCAGCCTGGCTCTATCTTAAGATTAGAAGCCATGTTATTACAAGGTCAAAATAAGTTCATCCCTGTTTTCTGTAAAACTTAAGTTTGACCCTGTCTTGACCCATTTTCTGGAACTTGACATGTTCCACACCCTATACCCTGACCATACTCTGAATTCTTCCCTGGTAAGACGTTCTGCCAAATAATTTTGAGATGTTCTGACAAGTTCCTGTGACCAAAAACCTTTGGAAACTCCCTAGCCTTAAAGTTTGTGAACTTATAAGCCCCATTTTCTCCTATGTTCAATGCTATTCTCTTAAACGTTGCTTTAGGAAAATAGCCCTGTCTAACAGAAAATAAAGGTTGTTTAATTTGACCAAAAATTTTTGTCAATGGTCTTTACTCTCATTTAGTGGTATTAACACAGCCTTTTCAACACAAATAAGAGAAGCCAGAATTGATTGTTTTCCAAATACATAGTATTTCAAAGAAATAAATGCTAATCCAGAATTCTATGCCCAGCAAAGATATCCTTTAGAAAGAAAATTACTCTGCAGGTAAAGACAATTGCTACCAAGTTTGACCACCCAAGTTCGATTCCTCATGGTAGGACAGAAGTGATTCCTGAAAGTTTTCCTATGACTTCCACATATGCCTATATACATGCAGAAACAAATAAATGTAACAACAACTATTAAAGGAAGAAAGAGAACTGAGCATGCACATTCATCATTCTTTGCCTCCTGACTGTGGGTGACCTTAAGCTCCTTCTGCCATGAGTTTCCCAAAATGATGAACTTTACCCTCAAACTGTGAGCTAAAATAAGCTCTTTCTCCCTTGAGTTTGTCAGGATTTTTTGCTGTGGAATAATCCTTCTGTACACTATGAATATATATTGCTCTCATTGGTTAATAAAAAACTGACAGGCCAGTAGCTGGACAGGAAGTTAGATGGGAAAGCCAAACTGAGAATAATGGGAAGAAGGAGGGCAGAGTCAGGAGAGATGCCAGCCAGCCGCCCAGTTAGCAAGACATGCTAGAGGACAGGTAAAGCCACGAGCCACATGGCAATACATCGATTTATAGAAATAGGTTAATTTAAGTGTAAGAGTTAGCTAGTAACAAGCCTGAGCTATCAGCTGAGCATTTATAATTCATTTTCAGCCTCTAAGTCGGTTATTTGGGACTGGATGGTCAGGACAGGAAATGTGTGTTTACAATTTTTTAATCACCACAACAGAATAAGTAACTAGTAAATCAACCCCTTGGCAGCACTCCAGGATGAGGAAGCCAGACAATTCATGGAGAATGATTGTGGATTATAGAGAGCTAAAGAAAATAGTGCCTCTTACCCACACTGTTGTACTCTTCACTGTTATTTTTAACAAACAATTGGTTTAAGTGATGGGATGATCTTGATCAATCTGAGGACCCACACAGAGGTGAAGGGAGAAAATTGAGTCCATAGAGCTGTCTTCTGAACTCCTCACATGTGCCCCCCATTACACACAATATGACAGTAGTAAATAAAGTAAGAAAAACTCAAAATAAATCAAAGACCTTAATATAAGACCTGAAACCCAAAAACCGTTCAAAGAAAACACATAGAGGAGCTGAAGAAATGGCTCAGTGGTTAAGAGTACTTGCTGCTTTTGCAGAGGACCTGGATTCTGTTCCCAGCATCCACATGGCAACTCACAACTGTCTACAACTCTAGTTCCAGGGGCTATACCCTCTTTTCTGGCCTCCACAGGTACCAGGCACACATTCAGTATACGTATACACATGCAGGCAAAACATTCATACACATAAAATAAAATTAAGTAAATCTTTTAAAAAATATTCTATCTCTGGCTGGCAAGATGCAGAAGCCCGAGGCTCCTACTTGAATGAAATGAAATACAACAGAAATGACAATTCTTCTACCCGACTCCATAAAGCCCCCCTTTCCAGTCATCTCTCTCAGCACTGTCCCCCTCTGACCACTCCCCAACCCGATCCCTCAAGTTCCCATGCCCACCCACCCCCAGTCCAACCAGGGGATCTCCTCTATTTCCCCTTCCCAGAGAAGGGGAGGTGCTTGGTCTTATGGCAGCCTAACATGCCACACTTTGCTGAAGCCCATGGGAGGCCTGCCCCTTTCTGAGAGATTACGGAGGAGGGGTGGGGACATGGAACGGAGGAAGGAGGATGGAGTGGAAGGAGAGGAGAGAGGGGTAGCTGCAGTTGGGATGTAAAATAAATAATTTATAATAAAAATAAATAAATAAAAAGAAATGACAACTCTTCAGCCCTCTGACCAACATAGTCTGTGAACACAATAGAAGCCTAAGCAGATTGCTTGAGAAGTCAGCCCTATATTGTATCACTGGGGCAAAGTGATCTTAGCGACAAAAAAGGCTCTGTTATACATAACTTTTGATTTCTGAACCTTGTCTCAAAGGAAACCATACCAGAATATTCCTGGGACAGAGGACTTAGAGATTGGAAACTTCCAAAGTCCTGGAATGTAGAAGGGGAAAAAGCACAGAAACATAGAATATTCACTTCAGGGCATTTTCACTCTGGTAGGAACTCTTGTGCAAGATGGACCATGAAAAATGTTCATGAGTGCCATCAGATGATGGCAGCTAGAAATATAAAGCAAGAATGATGTTCTCAACACAGAAAATATGCTAAAATACAACAGAGAGCCAGAATCATGGGAGTAGTGTGGGCAATGTGTTGCTGGTGGAGAGGAGACAGCATGAGGAATCCAGGAGACATTGCCTGAAGGAAATAAGAAGGCAAGGTCAGGCCATCAGCCTGGCCAGATCTTCACACTGGGATATTCTGCTGATTTTTCTACAATCTTGCAAGAGCTTAGTTTGCAAAGAGAAAGCAGAGACTATTAATTCCAGTTTGTGAGCATTCACTTGGGATCTGAACCCAAACATTGACCAAGTTGATTCTCACAACAGGCCCAATGACAGTGGAATTACCGAATTAATTCAACTTCACAGGCTTGGAAATGAGTATGAGTATTGCTATTTTAATCTTTGACTAAAGCTATTCAGCGCTAGCAGAGAGGATGCTAGACCTGATCTAAATCCAGGATTCTCTCCTGAGTGATTGGGGATCTCAAATCACCTATCTGACAGGATTAGTATTTTAAAAAAAAGATATGAAGAACTCTTATAATGCAACAAAAGAAAGACAAAACTATACAGTCTGAAAACAAGCCAAGGGCTTAAATAGAATTTGATAAAGAAAGGTATACAAATAGCCATAAGCAGATGAAAAGGGCTCAACATCACCAATAACTAGAGATAGAAATGTTAAATTACACCCACTGTTCTCATGTACTTAGAATAATGATTCTCAGGGGCAATTTGTTCCCCATGCAATATTTGGAAATGTCTGGAGACATCTTTACTTGTTACAAACTGAGGAGAACTGGTAGGCTAAAAATGGTTCCCTAAAAGATAGCCATGTCTTAATTCCCAAAAGAGTCTTTCTAGAAATGATATAGTTAAGGATATTGAAATATGGAAATTATGCTGGTGGGCCCTAATGTGATCACAAGTATTATTTTTCTTTGTGTGTAGTGCTGGCGATGGAGCCCATGGATTATATGTGATAGGCAAGTGCTTTACCATAAAGCTATACCTCTAGTCCTTATTCAGTCTTAGGCAGATAGAGATTAAACACACATAGAGAAGGCTTTGTGAAGACAAAGAAACAAGAACTTTGAAGGGCCATGTGTAGTGGTATGCTCCTCTACCCCCAAAATTAGCAGGTGGAGGCAGGAGGACCAGAAGTTCAGGGTCATCCTCAGCTACATAGCAAGTTCAAGGCCAGTCTGAGAGATGTGAGACCATGTCAAAAAGTCAAAACAAGGGAACAGGAAATGAAAAGAGAGCAGAGGAGGGCAGAGGAGTGGAGAGGAAAAATAGAGAAATGAAGAGTCATTTGAAGATTCCAGTCTTGAAGATGTGGCCACAAATTAAGGTATGTAGCAGCCATCAGGAGCCAGAGAAGACGGTGCAACCTTGCCTAGTAAAACTAGTTTTAGACGTCTAGCCTCTAAAACTGTGAGAGAATAAATTCAGGTTATTTCAAGCCACCAAGTTGGAGTGATGGCAACAAAAGGAAACCAAAGGTAGGCAGGGTACTATTGTCATCTGGTATGTAGAGGCCATGTGTAGTACCAATCATTTTACAGTGCCAGAGAGGTCTAAGGGTCAGGGGCTGGCTCCCTGCTACTTCCAGTCAGTACTCCTCACCTATGAGTAATCAATCTCTTCTGCTTCCTGCTAAATTTTAGTTTCATCTTCTCCTTAGGAATTCCCTGACACAAGAACTCTAACATCTCCTAGAGAGTGACTATTTTAGCTTATGTCCACTCTTGTTTTTGTTTTGTTTCATTTTGAGTTGCCCAGCTGGTCTCAAAGTCATAGTGATTATCTTGCTTGTACCTGAGTTTTAGGATTACAGATGTGTTCAACCACACCTGGCTTAGGACCACTCTTAACAGATACCTTAAAACAAAATTAGAAGGGGTAAAACAACTACAATGAAAAACATTTCAGTAGCTGTAGCTGCATGTAGTGTAATCTCAGCAGTTAAGAGGTAGTGGTGGAGGATCAGGAACTCAAGATCATCTTCAGCTACATAACAAGTTTGGGGCCAGTCTTAGATACATGAAATCCTGTCAGTAAAAAAAAATTACAATAGCTCCTTTTGAGTACAGATTTAACTTTGTTAAATGTTACAGGACTTTCAACTTAAAAAATCTTAGTAGGGGCTGCTTCAATTGTTAAGAGCACTGGCTGCTCTTCCAGAGGACCCATGTCCAGACTGCCAGTACCCACATGGTGGTTAACAACCTAGTTCCAGGGGATCTGATGCCCTCTTCTAGCCTCCATGCCCACTGTATATATGTGGTGCACAGACATACATGCAGGCAAAACATCCATACACATAAAAATTTTTTAAAGAAAAAGAAAACTAGTGGAGCATAATTTTTCAAGCAAGCCAGTGAGCAACCTTCTTTCATGGTTTCTGCGTTAAACTCCTGTTTGAGTTCCTGCCCTGACTTTCCTCAATGACAGACTGTGTGTGACCTGGAAATGTAAGCCAAATAAATTCTTTCTTCCTCTAGGGTAGTTTTGGTCAGAGTGGATTTTTTTCAGGGTTTTTTGTTTGTTTGTTTGTTTGTTTTGATTTTTGTTTTATTGTTTTTGGTTTTGTTTTTTCCTGATGGAGTTTTTTTTATATATATCAACAGAAAATAAATTAGAACACAGGATCTGTCACTGAACCTCGAACTCATTGATTTTGTAACACTACCTGGCCACCAATCCCTAGTGATTTTTCTATCTCTGTTCCTCCAATACTGGGGTTACAGGAGTGCACCACCATTCCCAGATTTTTATCTGGGTGCTGAGGGTCTGAACTTAGGCCTTCATACTTGAACAGTACTTTACCCACTGAGCCATCTTGCTAGCTCATAAAATAAACAATGTCATCATTTATATGAAAGTATGAAAGACCCCACATAGCCAAAGCAATCTTGATCAAAAAGAATAATGTCGAAGGACCACACTTGATTATAATTCATGCACTACAGAGCTATAGTAAAAAAAAAAAAACAGCATGGTACCCACACAGAACAGATATGTAGATCAATGGAATAGGATAAAAGACCCAGATAAAAACACATGCAGTTATAGACATCTGATTTTTGACAAAAATGAAAATATATATATATATATGTTAGAGAAAAAGAGCCTCTTCAACAAATGGTGTTGTGAAAATTAGAATAATGAAACTAGGTTCTTATCTCTCACCCAGTTAAAAAAATCAATCTCAAATGGATCAAAAATCACAATGTAAGACTTGAAACTACAAAAGGAAAGGGTAAAGAAAATGCTTTACGATATAGGCATAGTGAAAGTTTTTCTGAATAAGACCATAATAACTCTGTAAATAATAAACAATGTAAACAACTGACAAATGGGACTTCTTAAAATTAAAAAGCTTCTATACAGCAAAAGAAAGAGTAATTGTGTCTTCCTGCCTCAACTGAATGTGCACGGCTCTGCTGACTCCCCATGGGAGACCTTGCCTTGGAGGAGGCAGGAAAGGAGGGTGGGTTGGGGGGCAATGCTGGGGGGCCGGAGGAGGGAGGACAGGGGAATCTGTGGTTGACATGTAAAATGAATAGAAAATTTCTTAATAAAAAAACTACAAAAAATTGTTAGGTAATTATTTTCAGAATATAATCTCATAATCAGAATAAATTTAAATAAGACATAAAAAATGAAAGAGTAATTGAATGAAGAGATAGCCTATAGAATGGGAGATCTTTGTTAGCTATACATCTGACAGATGATTAATATCTGCAATATACTCCGGGCGGTGGTGGTGGTGCACAACTTTAATCCCAGCACTTGGGAGGCAGAGGCAGATGGATCTCTGTGAGTTCAAGGTCAGCCTGGTCTACAGATCAAGTTCTAGGACAGCCAGGGCTACACAGAGAAACCCTGTCTCAAAAAGCCAAAGAAAATAAAAATAAAAAAAAACATAAAAATGCATAAAATCATGCATGTATATGTGAAATGAAAGTAGAAACAAAATTGTCTATGAATATACACAATGAAAATAATAATAGTAATGAAACCTGTATTTCTCAGTGGCTAGCTTACTTAATGATGGGCTTCTTTATGATGCTCACTAATGTCTCCTTACAGATTCTTAAAATGCATGAATGATCCTAGGAATCCCTGGGAAAACCCAAGACAATGGTTCCCATTTGCGTTTTCTTCCTTGTATATATAGGTACTAAAATGACTGTAGCGTCCTTATTTCCATGAATATGATAAGACTCTTGGATTACTGAAGCAACCCCTCCTTCTCTTCCTAGGCTGTTGAGTGTATTTGTATTAATTTATCATTGACTATGCTGACTGTGACATGAGAGTGATCAAGGTACCCAAGCATGGTAGGGAACCAGAGAAGGAGTGCAACAGGAGTGGAATGGATCCATTGAGAGACTAGATTTATGTTTTGTTGTTTGCTGTTGTTTTGAGATAGGGTCTAACTGTGTATTGAAGGCTGGCCTTGAAATCACTACACAGTGAATGCCTAGCTTGCCTCTTTTTAAGTTGTTGGACCCCTGTTTTGTCTTGGAGGAAAAAATGAATTCAAGCCACAGCATACTGAAGAGAAAGCACTCACAAAAGGTAGTCACTTTCAAACTGAATATCCAATACATCCAGTGCTTGATATTGTACTCCAGTTTGGACTTGAGTCCAGACAAACTTTCCTAGCAAATGGGACCTAGGGGACATTACCTTTCTAATGCTAGCAGTCTGCCAGGCTCCCATTGCACCTGGACGCCTCTATTGTTCCATTGCTACAGCCTATTTAACCAGCAAAGGGGTAAAGGTTGGTGTGAGGTAGCAGGAAAAAAACCACTCATTCCACTGGAGGTAACAGCCACCAAAGAGAAGCACAGACCTGCTCTTCTCACCTGCCCTCACTCTGACTCTGTTCCTGGTTCCTTCTCAACCCTTCATAGGTGGATCTCAAATTATCTCTTGACTGCTTCTTGTCTTGGGAGCCAGGGTGTAAAAAGGAGCTTTCCTCACCTGGTTTTCTTTTCCTGGAGGGACTCTAGTATCTCCCGCACATCAGTCACATGTCTTTCCTTGAGGCTTTGATGGGAGACCTGAAGGCCAGCATGAACCTTCTTGGCTTCTGTCAGTTCTTCCTTCATCTTCTGCAACAGCAGCTTTTGTTGCTGGGCCACATACTTTTTGTCTGAGAATTTCCTCTGTTGCAAGACTGACAAGTGACCTTCCAGAGTGTAGGGCCTAGCTATGTTGATGGGCAGGCTATCTTCCCCACCTGGCTTATGGCTGTCCATGCCACTGCCCACTTTCATCACTGAGCTTGTAGGGCTGCAGCCCTCTTCCAGCTCCTTCAGCTGCAGGTGACACTGATAGAGCTTTCGTTCTATGTGAGCAATAGTGGCAGAGGTGCGCTGGTTCACCCTCTCAAAGGCCTGTCGGATATGTGAGGCCTGGTGTCGGTCAGCTTTGGATACCAGCTTGAGGTAGCTCATGGTATTCTCATCCCTACTGGCCTTCTCCACTCTCAGCTGCTCTGAGAGGTAGAAGATTCGATGTTTGACACCTTCCCTCACGTTCCGGGCAAGCTCACCATCTGAGAAGCTAGTGTGACTGCTAGGGCAATCCTCACGAGAGGACAGGGACCTGTAGGAGGGCACGTTGGTGGGGAGGGTTGCACTTGAGCTCTTGGTGCTTTCCACCTGCATTGGGAAACAACAAAACATGCAACAGGTGCTCTGTGAGCTTCAAATAGATGATGTATGAATTCACTTCAGAAAAATACATGTGTGCATAGACAGTGATGTGTACAAGGTTTGTATATTCAAGATAGGCCCAACATAGACTGTGGGGAGGTGGAGTTCATTTTCTAGGCCCCTAACTCCTTACTTTTCAACACCTAACTCCTTGCTGGTACCCTACTACAAATCTCAGATGGGTATAATCTGCCCTCTACATCTGCTTCACCTGGCCTTGAACTTATTATTTCTTCCAAGAATTATCAGTTATGTCTCTCACTTATTAGGGGCTATTCTTACAAAGTAGCAGTAAACTTATTCCCATTAATCTATATGGCTTCCTGTGAAAGACAAATATGGTATGTACTCACTCACAAGTGGATACTAGATATAAAGCAAAGGATAACCAGACTGCAACCCACAGCTCCAGAGAGGCTACCTAGTAAAGAGGACCCTAAAAAAGACACAGGGATCGCCCAATGACAGAGAAATGGATGATGAGATCTACATGAGCAAACTGGGGGTGGAGGGGTAATGGAGGGCAAGGGTTGAGGGAAAGAGAACTTAGGGGAGCAGGAGGTTCCAACTGGATCAAGAACAGAGAGGGAGAACGGAGAGGGAGACACCATGGTAAATGAAGACCCCAGGAGAATAGGAAGAAGCAGAGTGCTAGAGAGGCCCCCAGAAATCCACAAAGATACCTCCACTATAGACTACTGGCAATGGTCAAGAGAGTGCCTGAGCTGACCTACTCTGGTGATCGGATGGCCGAACACCCTGGCTGTCATGATAGAACTCTCATCCAGTGTCTGATGGAAGCGGATACTGTGTTGCTACTTCTGGGGAGATGATAGGTAGAGAAATTTCTATGCTAACAGGTTTATCCATTCATGAAATCATTTGTCCCACACATTATTTCCTGAGCATTAATGAGACAAAGTAGGCAGGGAGTCAAATGAGAGCACTACACAAAGGAAATAAACTACATCCTTAAGAAATATGAAGGAATCTTACAAGCATAATGTTGAACAGAAAACTTCACATTGTACCTGGTTTTTGTTTGGATAAATTTTAAGAGCACGCAAAATGCAGTAATATTGTATAGGGATGTCTACATGGGTGGCAAACTATAAAGGCAAAGCCTAGTCATGTGTAGTATAAGCATCAGGAGGAAGATTTCCCTGAAGGGGGTTGTGACTGTAAGGGAGGTAGAGACTGTGGTGCTTGGTCTGGAATAGCAGTTACTTATCATTATTTCTTAAGATATATGTTTATAGTTCCTGCACCATTATGAGCATATTCCAGATTCTACAATTTTAAAAATGTTTTAAGTGTTCAATAGATGGATGTAGTAGCAGATTTTATATGATTAGATAAAGCTAGTAAATAGTAAAACAGAGCTGAAAAAAAGTATCTGAAATCCAGCACAGAGGTATAAAGAAATAGAAACTTTTCAAAGTAGAAACAGAAGACAGGATGAGGAGTTCTAACAAAAATCTTCTCACTGTACCAGAGTGAGAAGATAGGATAAATATTTAAAGAGATAATCCATAAGAACTTTTTAGAACTAATGAAGGTCACAAATCCACACATTAAGAAGCTTAATAAATTCCAAGAAGAAAAAACAAACAAACTCAGAAGTTAATCTGTATCAAGAGACAAGATATTAAAGCTAGAGAGGAAAAAACATATTACCTTTAAAACCATGACTTTCAGACTGCAATCTGATTTCTCAATAGCATCAATAAAATCAAGAATATGGCTGAATAGTATCTTCAATACCATAAAAGATATACTGTTGGAGAAAAAAAATCAAGTCAGATTCAAAGAACTGGAAGTTAGAATGTCTTCAGACTTCTCAGCACAACTAGAAGGAAATGAAGAAATGCCTTCAAAGCTTGAAAGATAAATGATTTCCAACCTAGAATTTACTTTATAACAAAGCCATTGTCTAAGTTAAGGACTCTTCTTTTCCCTTTTCCTTCCTTTTCTCCCTTCCCTTTTCCTTTGCCTCCTTTTCTGTTGTCTCCCCCTACCTCTGCTTTCCTTCCTACCCTTTCTCATTCTAGGGATTGAACTCAGAGCCTCATATGAGGTAAAACTTGCTGCTCACATTCCCAATCCTAACTGTGAATGTACAGTGAAACATTTTCAGACATGAAAGAACTCAAATAGTTTACTTTCTCTATAATCTTTCTTCAGATTTTTTATGACACATATAGAGGACCACCACAATGAACAAGGGACTTAGGAAACAGGGTACTGGGTGGAGGGACGGCAAGGGGGAAAGAGGAAGTGGAGAAGCAAACATCATTTTCTGTTTCCCAGATGACAAAAGGAAAGCCTGTGCTCATGACTGGGCAGCAGGCCGGGAAAGTAAAATAAAGGCTCGTTTGGGGTTGGGGAGATGGCTCAGTGGGTAAATTGAGGGCCTGAGTTTGGATCTCCCAACATCTGTAACCCTAGTGCTGGGGGTTGGAAACAGGAGAATACCAGTGGCTCACTGGAATTGGTGAGTTCAGTGAAAGACCTTGTCTCAAAAAAAAAAAAAAAAGAAAAGAAAAGAAAGGAAAAGAAAAGAAAGGCAAGGCAAGACGAAAGGAAGAAGGAAAGGAGAGGAGAGGAGAGGAGAGGAAAGGAAAGGAAAAAGGAAAGGAAAGGAAAGGAAGGGAAGGGAAGGGAAGGGAAGGGAAGGGAAGGGAAGGGAAGGGAAGGGAAGGGAAGGGAAGGGAAGGGAAGGGAAGGGAAGGGAAGGGAAGGGAAGGGAAGGGAAGGGAAGGTTGGTGGGGCTAGAGAGATGGTTCAATGTTTAAAAGCATTTGTTGCTCTTTCAGAGGACCAGAGTTCGGTTCCTAGCACCCACATGGTGGCTTACAAATATCCATAACTCTAGTTCCAGGGGATCTGACGCATTCTTCAGCCTTCCTCTGGTACCAGGCATGCATATGGTGCACATACATACAGGCAGGCAAAACATGCATATACATAAAATAAATATTAAATAAAAGTTATAAAAATGTAAGGTGGAGATAGAGGAAGACATTCTAACATCTACTTCTAGCCTGCACACATACATACACACAAAGTTCCTTCAGAGAGCTACTGGGAATCAAGTGAGTAGAATGCCAGATATCTTTTAACACATGGGTAGACAATTTTTACATATATAGTTGGTAGAAGTGCTGAACTCGATACAGGTAATAGAGAACAAGCAGAAGGGAGTACAAATATTGACTCTAAGGAAAAGAAAATGTTAGACAAGATAAATAAATAAATGACACTAATTATTCATTTGTGACTAATATTCCCTTGGATTTGAGGATTTGACCATGTAAACCCCAAGAAATGATGCACCTGAAATCATCAGTGTGCACTGTGCAGGAAGGAAGGCCAAATATGAAGTGTGTGTTGTCTAGAGAGGAGGCAAGTGAAAGAGTTACATCATCATCTTTCCTATAAGAAGTCAACAACAGTTCCTAAAATACAAAAAGACAATTGAACTGGATTATGTAATCAAATTGTTTAGGTAACTGAAGGCAAATGCCAGGTGAAACAGCAAAAGTGTTAAAAAATTGTTTGATTCTGGAGAATGGACAGTGTGTAGTTGGAGTCTGGGTGTTGCTAATTTTTTGTTAAATTTTATCTTCCTTTAATTAAAAAATAAAGTTGCTAAGCTTAGTAGAAATATTTAACTCTAGCACCAAGAATTGACAAAATCTAACCTATAGGTCCACTACGTGATTTTGAATGGCATGCAAACATTTATATCTTTTTTCTTTTGAGATAGGATCTTTCTATGTAGTCATAGAACTCTCTATGTAGTCCAGGCTGGCCTTGAATTTACAGAGATCTGCCTGCCTCTGCCTCCCATATGCTGGGATTAAAGGCATGAACCACCATTCCAGGCTTATATTATACCTTTTTTAAAAATTATAACTGCTTGGCCATTAGTTCAGGCTTATTACTGACTAGCTCTTATACATTTATACCTTTTAAATATTTGAAAAAAGTTGGACCATTCAGAACATAAAAATTACACAAGATTAAAACCTTAGTATTCAAACTGAGCAGTGGTAGCACATGATTTTAATCCCAGCACTCATGAGGCAGAGGCAGGCAAATCTGAGTTTGAGGCCAGTCTGGTCTACAGAGCTAGGTCCAGGATGGCCAGGACTATACAAAGAAAAGAAAATCAAGAAAGAAACATCGGCATTCATAAAAAAAATTATTTGCCCAGAGCCACATTTAAGAACTTCCCTACCACCTAAGGCTCCTAAATTTTCTACAAATGCTATCTGACCATTTATAGAAAACTTTGTTGACCTATGCTTAAAATAGTTCATGTATACCTTTGACAAATGAAGGAACTAAATAATTTCTCAAGGAGCAAGTTGTATATATGGAGGATAAAAATTTGTTTATAACTTTTTCTGGGGGAATTTTATAGACACAATATAAAACTCAAAACTAAAGGGAAATTGTTGGTGTAAAAAAAATCAAAGGGACTGGAGAGATGGTTCAGTGGATAATTACAAAAGCATGAGAACCTGATTTCAGATCACGGTGCCTATGTAAAAAACTGGGAATAGCCACACTTGTACCTGTAACCCCAGTGCTGTGGAAGAGTGGAAACAGGAGGATTGCTTGGGCTTACTGGCCACCAGTGTAGGTTCAGTGAAAGACCTGGTATCAAAGAATAAGGTAGAGAGTGATAGAACAGGAAACTTGACATCCTCCTATGGTCTTTGCATGTGTGCACTGCTGTGTGCGCACACATATGTATATACACCACACATACTACACCACACACACACACACACACACACACACACACACACACACACACACACAAATAAGTAACTAAAAAAGTGCTGGGGATGTTGTTCAGAGGGCCCATCTAGCACACCAAAGGCCCTGGGTTAGATCCCAGCATTGCTTAAAATGAGGTGATGGAGGTACACAGGCCTTTAATCCCAGCATCTCCAAAAACAGGAAGCTGGAGGAGCAAACTTCAAGCTCAACCTCCTCCTCAGCCAGCTTGAGGCCACCTGTGCCACATTAGACCCTGTCTCAAATCAACAGAAGAAAAGTTCAATCTAAATGTAAACAAACAAAATAACAAAACACAAAGCAAAATAAAACAAAAAAGAAAAGGAATGAAAGTTTCTTTGCTCTGGCCTGCTTCCTCTCCCTTGGAAGTATACTTACTCTTAATAAACTGTCCCTGCTTCTGCTATTTAAAAAGCAAAGAAAGGAGGCTGGAGGGATGGCTCAGTGGTTAAAAGCACTGGCTGTTCTTCCAGAGGTCCTGAGTTCAATTCCCAGCACCCACATGGCAGCTCACAACCATCTGAAACTCCAGTTCCAGGGGATCCAACACCCTCATACATTCAGGCAAAACACCAATGCACATGAAATAAAAATAAATAAATCATTAGGAAGGAAAGTAAAAACAAAAAAAATTAGTGTAAGGGTTGGCAGAGATGCCTTGGTGGGTAAAAGTTCTTGCTTCAAAGCCAGACAACCTAACTTGGATCCTCAGAACTTATAGTAGAAAGAACCAGCTATTGAAAATTGTCCTCTCACACCCACACATGCACACACTCACACACACACACACACACACACACACACACACACACACACACACACACACTCTATACACATAGTAATAATAGTAATAATAGCCGGGCAGTGGTGGCACACACCTTTAATCCCAACACTTGGGAGGCAGAGACAGGCAGATCTCTGTGAATTTGAGGCCAGCCTGGTCTACAGAGTGAAATCCAGGACAAGCACCAAAACTACACAGAGAAACCCTGTCTCTAAAAACCAAAAAAAGTAATAATAATAATAGTAATAATAATAATAATAAAAAAAGTGTAAGCCAGGTGGTAGTGGTGCACGCCTTTAATCTCAGCACTCAGGAGGCAGAGGAAGGTGAATCTCTGAGTTCAAGGCCAGCCTGGCCTACAGAGGAGCTCCAGGACAGCCAGGGCTACACAGAAAAACCCTGTCTCAAAACACCAAATAACAAAAATAATAATAATAATAACAGTAAATCTGTGTAAATAAAAATATAAACAAGAAAGCATGGCCTAGTGGCACCTGTAACCCTAGCATTTGGGAAACTGAGACATGAAAATCTCCAGTTCCAAGCCAGCCTAGGCTACTGATACCAAGTCTTTAAAAAAAAAATCCACAAGAGGAGCCATAAAAATGGCTCAGTGGGTAAAGGTGCCTTCCATGCAAGCCTACAGATGTGAGTTCAATCCCCTAAACCAGCAAAAAGGCAGAAGAGAGCCAATTCCACAAAGTTGTCCTCCTACCTACCTACACACACACACACACACACACACACACACACACACACACACACACACACATGCATACACACTAAAAACGATTTTTTTAAGAGATGGGAATTTATCTCAGTAATAGAGGGCTTACTGGGATTTATGGGGACTAATGTTTGATCTCCATCACCACAAAAAAGAAAATATAAAATAGGATGTTAATTAAATGTAATTATAAATAGCTATATATCATGATCTTGGGGAGATTACTTAATATTATAAATATCCCAGTCATATATATATATATATATATATATATATATATATATATATATATATATACTAATTTCTACATTCCTTGAAATGACAGTTAAAAATCAAATGGTATCACGTATGGTGGCACATGCCTGCAATCCCATTACTTGGGAGGCAGCAGAAAGAATTCAAGGTCAGCCTGGGCCACACAATGAAACCCTATCTCAAAAAAAGAAAGAAAGAAAGAAAGAAAGAAAGAAAGAAAGAAAGAAAGAAAGGAAAGGAAGGAAGGAAAAAAGGAAGGAAGGAAGAAAGCCAACCAAATGAACAAAAAAGCCAAGTGAGAATATCTTGTGAGTCTTAAATTAACTGACTTCAAAGTTTAAAAGAGAAAATGCAAAGTAGCTAGGAAAATTTAGGAAAAAAATATTGAATTAGGGTCTTAGACTATTCAAAAAATAGAGTGCTTCTTTACTTTATGTACAATAATATAATCTAGACAGAATAAAGAACTAAACATAAGAAACACAACCATAAAAGTATTAAAAGTATCTCTTTAAAAAGGAGGGTTGGAGGGACAATTAGCAGTTAAAAGCATTTGTTGCTTGCTCTTACAGAGGACCTGGGTTCAGTTCTCAACACCGACATGGTAGCTCACAGCCATCTGTAACTCCAGTTCCAGGGGATCTGATCCCTTATTCTGATCTCATCGGGCACTAGGCATGTATGTGGAGCACACACATACGTGCAGGCAAAACTCTCATACACATAAAATAAATTAATTAAATGGATAATTAAAGAAAAATGAAAGTATGTAATAAATATTTTTACAATCTTTTAATAGAAAAGACCTTTCTAAGCAATGCTCAGGCCTAAATGCCATGAAAAAAGATTTACATATTTTATTACCTTAAAAACTTTTATAACCTACTGTATGGAAAGAAAAAAAAAGGAACATACAATTTAGGTTTTGTTTCACCTTTTTAAAAAAATAAAATATCTACCTTACCATTAAAAACTAAAAACAGATATAGATTAAGGGACAAAGACTAAATATATGTAATAAAGGGCTAATTAGCATCATATTTAAGGAAATCATACAAATTAGTAATCAAAGAACAACCTTACTAAAATAAAATATCAAAAGATAGTATCACATACTTCAGATAGGCTGAACTTCCAATGAGCAACAAATATTTTACAAAAAAAAAAGGGTAGGAAGGGGACTGGAAAAATTGCTCAGTGGTTAAGAGCACTTGCTCCTCTTACAGAGGACCTTGGTTGGATTCCCAACCATTCATAATTTCTGTTTCAGGGGATCCAAAACTGACTTCTTCAGGCACCAGGCATATACATGGTGCACATATACATGCAGGCAAAACATTCATACACATAAAAATGTAAACATTTTAAAAATACTTTAAAAAGTGATTAGTAATTTGTAAATCAAAGCATTAATTAAATACCATTCACTTATCCATCAGATTGCCAAAAATTAAAAGTGCTAATAATATCCATTAGTTATGAGAATGTAAGGAAAGGAATACTCAGATACTCTGCAAATAGGATCAGTTCAGATTTTTACTATGCTAAATCAGGCAGCATCTACTGAAAATTTAAATGCAGGAACCTTTTAACCTAGCAAGAACAGCAAAGTCCAGTGGCACTCAGGTGACAATTTACACAGGAACTCCTAACTTTTGTGTCAAGATACTGCATTTGGAATCCCATGTTATTGAATCTCGGCACAGCACTGGGTGCTGTGCTGGTGTGAAAGGTTATCCCAAGTCTCTGAGATGAACAGTGTCATCTTTATGGGAAGATACAGCCCAAACGTTTAAAGAAAAAGTGTATACATTCTACTATAACGGAAACTCACCCAAGTCAGGCTCCGCAGTCAAGTTACAGGCCAGCTTTGGACTACAGTCACTCCGGGCTTGTTGGACAGAAAGTTCTAGAAAGGAAAATAGCTCAAAAGTGTCTTAAAGTCTCAAGAAGGCCAGCTCTCCTCAGGAGGTTGGGCTGCTGCATGTGAGGGGTAACCATCCAAAAACGTTGGAATTCTGAGGTGTACTTTTTAATATGGTAATAAATTGTGAATATCAACTTCACAATTACAGCTATTTTCAATTGCAAGCTTCAGTTTCACAACGTTCACTATGTTCTTTACATCTCCAGTCACACACGACTACCCTCTAATTACAGAACTTTTTTCATCGCCCCCAAAGGAAAATTGTACCTGAACATGGAGGTAGTCCCTTTGAGGAATTGATAACACAAAGAAAAATATAAAGAAATAGAATTAGTCTGTATAGAACTGAAAATGCAAGTTACAGATGTTCAAAATTCTTTTGAAATGGCCACACAGAAGCAGCACATAGTCGTGTAGTGAAGGGGTAAACGTATAATGAAAAGCCTACACATCTGTGGAAAGCGAAAGGATACATGTGGCGAAGTGATGCACGTGCAAAAACGGTGGACTACACGTGCAATGCAGTGGAAGACTATATGTGCAACAACAAAAGAATACATGCGTGGTGGAGGGATATATATATGTGTGTGTGTGTGTGTGTGTGTGTGTGTGTGTGTGTGTGTGTGTGTGTGTGTGTGTGTGTGTGTGTATGGCGAGATAGACATATAACTAGGATAGACTTATAACTTGTGGGCAGAGTTGAGTTATAAGCCCGTGGAATATGTGCGGAGGGATCAGTTCATGCCAGGGCGGAGCACCCCGGTCCTTTTAACTGAGTCGCAGGCTGAGGCAGCCATTTAGTGCTGCGGAGCATGACGCTCTGGTAACATGTCAGAAGCTGAGGCAAGCGGTGGGATGGCCGGCAACGCTGGACCAGATGAGAAAACGTTGCAGGTGTTGCGGGACATGGCCAACCGCCTGCGAATCCGTTCCATCAGGGCCACAAGCACCTCAACCACTAGGTAAGGCTGCCTGGGAGGGCCTTACCATGCGGTTCTTCAGTCCTTACTGAAGTTGTGAGGCGAATGGAACCTGCCGTTATCCTCCATTTTCTGCCTTCTGGGACCACCCACCGCCTTTAGATTCCCATGAAGTATAGTCTTCAGCCCTGGCGGCAGAGGCACTCCCCTGACTACTTTGTGACCAAGGTTCTGGAAGCCCACAAAACCTCCCTTAGTAAGGAGAAATCTAGAACCTAGTCGAGTGAGCGAGCAGTGTTCTCTGGTATTTATCAGGCTAGTTCTAGTTTGGCATTTTAGGGAGGAATGGAGTTTTGTGTGTAAGTTGCAATGGAATGGGGGGGGGGGTCGTGATTGAGCGGACCCTTACTCAGGACTTTAGGGTGAAAAACGAACCACGTTCTGTGGAGAGCACACCAGAAGGGTAGTACTCCAGGAGGTGGAGTGGGAAAGAGAGGAGGAAATGTGAGAGGCAGTGCATAAAATGTGTGGTTTCCCAAAAAGTACTTGACGGCTTGTAAAAAAAAAAAAAATGGTTAGTGAATTTGTTGATATTTGTTATTTGTTGAAGGTAATTTTGCACCGATATCGATGAAGGATAGGGGTCTATAGTTTTTTTGTTGTCTGTGTGGCCCAGGCTGGCCCTGACGTGGATACAAGGGATTCTCCTGCTTTCCCAGTATTTGGAGTTAAGACCTATAATGCTGCTAGTCCACAATTCATTCATATTCTCTCTGTTCTTCCCGCCCCCCTAGTTTTTCGAGACAGGGTTTTTCTATGTAGCCTTGGCTGTCCTGGAACTCACTCTGTAGAAAACTCACAGAGATCCGCCTGCCTCTGTCTCCCGAGTTCTGGGATTAAAGGCGTGCGCAACCCCCGCCTGCCCGTTTTTTTTAAAGATTAATTTATTATGTGTACTGTGCCTGCATGTATGCCTGCCCACCAGAAGAGGGCATCAGGTCATATTATAGATGTTGTGAACCACCATGTGATTGCTGGGAATTGAACTCAGGACCTTTGGAAGAGCAGCCAGTGCTCCTAACCTCTGAGCCATCTCTCCAGTCCCTCTCTTTTTGAGGCTTGTTTGTTTGGAGGTTTGGTCTTTTGGTTTTTTGGGGATAAGTGTCTCTCTACATAACCCTGGCTGTCCTGGAATTCGAAGTATAGACCAAGCTGACCTTGAACTCACAAAGATTCACCTACCTCTGCCTCCTGAGTGCTGGGATTAAAACTATGCACCACTACACCCATCTTGTCCACAGTTTTTCAATGACTAAACTACTAACTAAACTACTAATTGTATGTCTATTCAGACTTCCTAATACTAACTAGGTCCTGTTAGATTTTCTCTTTCTACATTTTTTTTTCAGTTATTTTGATTAACAAGTTTTTTTAGGATACAATTATCCACATTATTATAAAAAATTCTTTTTCATTTCTTTAGGGGTGACAAGAATAGCCTCATCTTCATTTTCTGAGTTATTTCAGTCTTTTCACAGTTTTGCCTATCTAGCTAAAGCTTTATTAATATTTTGCAAGAACCAACTTTGGGTCCTGTGGGTTGTACTTCAGTGCAAAATACTTGCCTATCATGCCCTGGGCTTGATCATTAGCACTGCACAAAAAAGAACCAAGTTTAGTTTTGTAGATTTTTACCTCTTTTGCTGCACTATTTTTTATATCTGCTATGATCTTTATTATTCTTCCTTCTCTTAAAGGCTTTTGGTTTAGTTATTTTGTAGTTCTTTAAGTAGGAAAGTTAAGGTCGTTGATTAGAAATTGTTAAAAAATGAGTTTTAGCTTTACTTTTTTCTTTACACTGCTTTTGCTGCATAAGTTTTAGATTTTTGTTTTTATTTTCATGCATCTGTTTCTAATTTTCCTTGTAATATTTTTCCTTTGGTTTGTATAAGAGTTCATTATTTAATTTCCACAACTATGTTGAATGTTTTCTGTTTTTCTGCTGGTTTATAATTTCATGTCCTTGTAACTCTGTTACACAAAGTACTTTGCATGTATTTTTTTTTCATCCTTCCCTGGAGTTCGGAGCACAGCTCAGTAGTAGACTATTTGCCTAGTATGTGCAAGGCCCTAGGTTCCATCCCCAGCACTGCAAACATAATTTGTCCTGAAACCTAAACCATGACATTAAGAGGACAATTTTGTTGCATTTTAAGACACTAGATTTTGGTTGGGTGGTGGTGACACATGCCTCTAATCCTAGCGCTCAGGGGGCATGCAGGTGGATTTCTGAGTTCGAGGCCAGCCTGGTCTACATAGTGAGTTCCAGGACAGCCAGGGCTACACAGGGAAACCCTGCCTCATGAGGGGGAAAAGACACAAGATTTTGTTTTGTTTTACATTTTTGTTTTATGGGTCTTAAGTACAGTCACATTGTCATCTTAATGTTATGCCAAGTCTACCACCACCACCACCACCACCACCACCACCACCACCACCACCACCACCACCACCGGCTGAGGTTACAATTATAGGGTATTACACCAGGCTTTTTTTAATGAAGCAAATATGTTTATTTATGTCTTTTATTTTATCAAATACAGAGAAGGATTTAAGAAGACAAATATTAGCCAGGCATAGTAGCAAACACCTTTAATCCCATCACTTGGGGGGCAGAGGCAGGTGGATCTCTGAGTTGGAGGCCAGCCTGGTCTACAGAGTTAGTTCTGGGGAAATCATTTAAAAAAATGTTTATTACAAGTATACCTTACCTTTTTTTTCTTTTCTTTTTCACCTGCCTCTGCCTCCCAAGTGCTGGGATAAAGGTATGTACCACTACCACCCAGCTTGCCTATCTTACCTTAAAGTAGATAGATGATTAGATAGTGCAGAAGTTTCTCCAGGTTTTTTGTTTGTTTGGTTTTGATTTTGTTGTTGTTGTTTGTTTGTTTGTTTTTTAAGCATGTGTTCTGGTGATTGGCAAACACTTTGCTGATGGAAGTAGCTCCCAAGTCCCTGCTTTATTTGTTTCTTACAGTAGTTTTTTTGGCTGGGGTAAGATGATATTTCATCTTTGTTGTTTGTTTGTTTGTTTGATTTTGTGATGCTGGAGATAGAACTTGATCACCCACGCACTAGACAATATTCTACCACTAAGCTGGCTTCCAGCCTCAGCCACTTGAATCCTGGGATTACAGGCATCAGCCACCATGTCTGGCCCTTATTGTAGTTTATATTTATATTTTCTTGGTAATTAATGATGCTATTTTTTTTTTTGAGACAGGGTTTCTCTGCATAACCTTGGCTGTCCTGGAACTCACTCTATAGACCAGACTGGCCTCAAACTCACAGAGATCCACCTGCATGTGCCTCTGGAAATATTTTTTATATACTTGTTAGCCATTCACACTTCTTTCTCTGAAAAATCTATTTAGATTATTTGCGCACTTTAATATTAAATTTTTGAGTTCCTTATCAAGATGAATATTAATGATCTGTCAAATGAATAGCTGGGAAATATTTGCAGGAAATAAGTTTTGTCCCCTGTCCTGTTCTCTCTCCCCTATAAGAAATTCATTTTAGGGGCTGGAGAGATGGCTCAGTGGTTAAGAGCACTGGCTGCTCTTCCAGAGGTCCTGAATTCAATCCCTAGCACCTAAATGGTGGCTCACAACCATCTAACTGTAATCCCATGAGATCTGATGCCCTCTTCTGGTGTGGAAATGTACATACAGACAAAACACCCATATACATAAAGTACATAAATAAATAAATCTTTTTTAAAAATTCATTTTAGGTAGTAGAATGGAATCTATGTGATGGTTCTGATAGAGCGAAGCATGTTGATGAAGGATGTAGAAGTTCTACAGATGATAGCATATGAGTAAAAGAATGCTCAAGTCAGTAACAAATTGAACTAAGCCCAGTGCATGTCACTGTGCAGAGAGAAAGAGGGCTTGGGAGGTTGCTGACCTCTCAAATGGCCTTTAGTGCCTCAAGCATAGGAGGCCATGGCCCAGCACCCTGACCCTTGGCTGAATTCAGTCAGGCCGGGGGAAATGACTGCTGCTTCTAGTTCAAAGACACAATATACTACTGCTATACATAGAAGTACAAGGTGCCCACTGAGAACCATTTGCCTGTGAGAAACGACTTGTATTGTGTCTGCCTTTCAGACATCTCACACCATGCAGCAGTGCTGCTGAGATCATGTCTGTGCTGTTCTTCTACACAATGAGATATAAACAGGCAGACCCAGAAAACCCAGACAACGACAGATTCATCCTTTCAAAGGTATAATGACAGGGGAATACTGCTGCTTGTTGTTTTGCAGGGGGATGGTTTTTGTTGTTTTGTTTTGAGACGGGTTTGTGTAGCTCAAGCTAGCCTCCAACTCACCATGTAGCCCAAGCTGACCATGAACTCCTTATCTTCCTACCTCCAACTTCTGAATTCTGGAATTATAGGTGTGTACCTTGCTTGATGCTTACTTCTTAAACTGCGCTTTAAAGACACCATATGTCAATAGGTGCCTTTTGAAATGGGCCCTTAAAATGGGCCATTTGGTACTTTTTTTATTCAAAGTTGTTCTAGTGAGGTCCACTTGGAGGCATATGATATGTATAGCAGGAAAGATGAAATGTGGCAGCTGGCCATCATTGGTACTCTTGCCTCATTCCACCTCACTCCACTGAAGTCCCCATAGATCATACTTTTCCCATCCTCTGTGCTGCTTTGAGAGGCAGGTGACTTCAGTGAATCTGCCTTGCTGAACCTGCAGAAAACTGATGATGACTTGGAAGAAGCATCAACTGAAAACTGAAGGGCTTTTAGTTTTACCAGTTTTCTTTTTTATTGTTGTTTTTTTGTTTTGTTTTTCCCAGCTAAGTAAGCCTGGGAAGTAGCCAAAAGATCTTTGTATGAGCAATTTCTTGAAACATACTTGGTGCTGGAACAAAGATAAGTACTGCCTGGAAGCTAATTCTTCCCCTGAGTGTACATACCTTTATTCTAGTTGCCACCACTGAGTTGTATCCCTCAATGCATAATAGTTTATAAGAAAAAGAAAACCCTATCTGGGTATGATGACACATACTTGTAATCTATACACTTAGGCAGCTGAGACAGGAGAATTACCAAGTTTGAGGCCAGCCTAAGCTACATAGCTCCAGGCCAGACTGGGCTACAAAAACAGCCTATCTAAAAGAAATGTGGGGTAAGAAACCTTTTCTGGACCCTTGTGCCATGTCATGCTTCTTGCTGGCACCCCACCCACAATCTCAATAGTCTCCTACTCCTAAGTGGAGGCTCTGACTCCACACCAAAAGATGAAGTCCTAAGACTTATTTGCCTTCTGCTTCACAGTTAGGAGAACGCAGAGATGTAGGTCTGTGCTCCAAGGGCATGTAAGACATCTGGGAGCCAGGGCTTGTTACTCTAGGTGTTTTTTTTTCTGTTGCTAATGAAACACTTTGACCAAAAACAACTTGAGGGGAAAGGATTTATTTGACTTAAACTTCTAGGTCACAGCCTATCATTTAGAGAAGACAGAAACTCAAGATACTTTACTGGCTTGCTTTCCTCTCTGACTCATACACAGCTAGCTTTCATATACACAATCTAGATCCCCTTGCCTAGGGATGGTGCTGCCAATAGTGGGGTGCAGCTGGGCTTTCCAAAATCAACCATCAATTAAGACAGTCTGTATCAGACATAGAAATGGGTCAATCTTATTGAGGCAATTCTTCAATTGAGGTTCCTTCTTCGATGACTCTAAGTTGTATCAAGTTGACAATAAAAACTAACCACCATACTCCATCTCTTGTCAACTTGACACAAACATGTCACTGTTAAACCATAACTTTCCTTTCTTGTCTATCCCCTAGATTTCATGTTAATGTCATATTATAAAATGCAGTACCACGTTAAAAGTCACCTATTCTTTAAGAATTCCAATGCTTTACAAGTTCAATGTCTCTTTAAAAGAGCAAAGTATCTTAGCTGAGATCCTACAAAATAAAAAAAAATAAGTTACATACTTTCTTCTTCCAAAAGGGAGAACCAGGGCATAGAAACAGTTAAAGCAAAACCCAAAATCCAGCAGTATAAATCAAATCCTGTAGCTCAATGTCCATTATCTCAGAGTCACTCATAATATAATCCTCTGGGCTCCAAAGGACTTGGGTAGCTCCACCTTCCCAATTCTGGCATCTGCAGCTCACACAGCTTGTCTCCTAGGCTCAGGTTCACACCACTTCACATCTGCTACTGTCTTTGGTGGATAGTGACAATGAATAAATTTAGTGTGTCTGAAAGCTCAGGAGCAAGGTGTCTCCCACCAAAGCAGCAGCATTTTGCCATGGCTTTTCATCCTGTAGGGGAGCACATTCTCTCCATGGAATACTAGTAACCTGTATACAGACTAATGGATATTAGCCAAGGGGAGGTAGAGTGACAGAAAGTTAATCACAAGCATTGGCACTGCCTAGAATACTCAAACACTTTTGTATTTATAGTTCTTTGAGAACCCATATTCTCCAAAAGATTTAACATCTGACTTGTGCACAGCTGAACCAAAGACTATGAAAATGCTTTACATTTTCTATTTTGCACTTAGGTTCCTTTCTCTGTGTTCTACAAGCTCCAGTTGCCATCACTATGCTGTGGATTCTGTGGCAATGGGTATCTTCCTTGTCTTTGTCACCCAGTTTCCAATTTAGGGTGGGCCCCAGGCTTGACCCATGGTCATCTTATGACCTTGATCTGAGACTTTGTAGATGAGGCAAAGATGATTTCATCCAGTGGGGTGGGAGGGGTAATTCCAATGGGTCAACAGGAGTAGCCTGCACTCAGTACTAGAAATCTGCCTGAAGCCCATGTTCTGTAGATGTTCGTATATTCACTGGGTCTCTTTTCTCTTACAGGGACTACCATTTGTTAATGTGGCAACAGGATGGCCTGGGCAAGGACTAGGGGCTGCCTGTGGGATGGCATATACTGGCAAGTACTTTGACCAAGCCAGGTAAAGCACTTACCAAAATCTATTTCACTGCCCCACCCCTGCACTTTGCCTCATTAGTTTGAGAAGACAATGATAGTTTTGAAAGTTCTGGTTGCAAAGTATTGAAGCAGTAAATAAATTCCATTTGTAGATCTGTTCTAGCATCTCTGGTTGGATCTAAGTGGTGAGTAGAGTATTAGAACACTAATATTTTCTGAGACAGCTTCATGTTTTCTGTCCTGCAAAGTTTCACTGTGGAATGAACAACATGTACTTTGCATTAGGAGCCCGCAAATATTAGTAACACATGTCCTTTACTGGGTTGGTTTACAATCTCTTTCTTGGATCTGTGCTTATCTGCTGCTTATAATGAGCAGTACTACAAATGAAATGCCTGGTTTAGACCTGGGATTTCCTGCAGCTCTGCTGCATGTGGTGAGCCTGAATCTAGAGCTCTTTTGGTTTAGTTTCTCCAGAGTGTGAGCTTATCTTTCATATGATCTCGGGAGATAGCTACCGAGCTCCTAGGAGGCCTTGTTCCAACTCAGAGAATCCCTTTGGAAGTACTTAGTTGTGTTTCCTCCACCCCTCCATCAGCTTGCTTGTTCCATTTCTCAAAGTTTACTCACACATTTCTCACTGCTGTAAGTTTTCACCCATGATTGCCTTTCTTAGTGATAACCTTGAGTTTAATAACTTTTCTTAAGGGTTAGGGAGATAGGTGACTCAGCAATTAAGAGCACTGGTTGCTCTTCCAGAAGACCCAGATTGGATTCCCAGCATCTACAGGCAGTTCACAACTGTCTGTAACTCCAGTTCCACGGGATCTGACATTTTCTTAGGCATACACACAGGCAAAACACTCATACACATAAAATAAATAAAACATTTTAAAAAAAAACAACTTTTCTTAAACCCACAGTACTTTCATGAGGTCTAGGGTGCATTTTATTGGTATAAATGGTTCATGTCTCTGCTGCAGAGGAGTGTATTGTTTATGGTGGAGCATAGCTCCCTAGGTAGGATATTTCCATTACTATGATGATTTGTAAATAAATTTTAAGGTCAGAAATAAAAGGCACCAATGCTTTAAAAAAATTGAGCTTTCGCGCGCACGCGCGTGTGCGGGGGTGGGGGGGGTACCTTATTTACATGTTTCAGGGACCTGCTTTCTCATTCCCTCTTGCTTGCTGACAAACCAGGAGAGGGAGCAGAAACAACTAAAAATAGTCTTAGAGCTATAATGAGACCACTAGTCAAAGTAAAGTCTGTCTCATGAGGCTCAGACTTCATTTCCTCAGCTGCTAAGCTTGTGAAGATTTGATGAAGAAAATAGCCTTAAGGACCTTCTGAAGTCTGAAGCAGCTCCCAGAGTCTCAGTGTGTGTGTGTGTGTGTGTGTGTGTGTGTGTGTGTGTGTGTGTGTGTCTGTCTGTCTGTCTGTCTGTCTCTCTCTCTCTCTCCCTCCCTCCCTCTCCGTCTCCCTCCCTCCCTCTCTCCCCTCTTCTTCTGCTCCTCCTCCTCCTCTTCTTCCTCCTTCTCCTCTTCCTCCCCCCTCCTCCTCCTTTTTTTAATCTCCCTGAAATTGATTTGCTTGGGTGGCCCAAGTGAGCCCCAGCAGGGTCCTAATTGAATCTTGATTTGTTTCTAGCTATCGGGTGTTCTGTCTTCTGGGTGATGGGGAGTCCACAGAAGGCTCTGTCTGGGAGGCATTAGCCTTTGCATCCTATTACAATCTGGACAATCTCGTGGCAATATTTGATATGAACCGCATTGGACATCCTTCTTCGTTGTAATCTAACCTCCTCCATGACAGGTGGAATACTTACGTGGTAGATGGCCATAATGTTGAGACCCTATGCCATGTGTTCTCACAGGCAGCTCAAGTGAGAGGCAAGCTCACTGCTGTGATTGCCAAGATCTTCAGGGCCCGAGGCATGCCAAGTACGTGTTTACTTCCTATGAGTATTCAAAACATTTGTCCATGGAGCAGAACAGACAGAAGGAAGCACTGACTGGGCTGATGGTTTTCCTTAGTGAACAGTGTTAATGCTGGTAACATGCGAGGCTGTTTCTCTCTCTTGACCTCACTAGCTAATATGTCTGGTTAGGATAGGAGGGGAAGGCCAAACTTCTACCAAGTAAACAAAGGTTTTTTGCCCTTGTAGAGAATGGCTAGTGGAACAGTTCACCAGTGGGAATAGTTTGCTAACAGGGAAGGATCTATTGTGATTAGTAGTCAGAAAATATGCTATATGTAGGGGGCAAGCCCATGAGTAAGGTGGTATATCCATATACATTTGTCTAGACCCAGATCATCTGGAAGAACACATAGAAAACAGAAGCTTGGGAACTGGGGCTAGTGATAGACTTATTTTTTTAATAAAATTTTATTCTAATTAATTCACAAATAAAAACATCAGCTACTTTAAGGAAGCCACTCAAACACTTTCCTAGTCCCAAACTCTATATATCTCACTGAACTTCTATACAGTTAGTATGGCCATGCTGAAGTAGTGGAGCTTCACTAAGGGTTTTTTACTTTCATTATTATATTTTTTATTCAGTTAATCCACCACATAAAGAGTTAAAACTAGGGGGGAAATGAGACTTAATACAAGATGTAATTCTTTGTACATTTCAAGATTATCCTCTGGAGTTGTCTATCTCAAATTTAGTTTCTCAAGTTTAAGTAGTTGAAGAAGATATGATTCATTTTTTTAAATAATATAGACAATTTAGAATAACACTGATCTGTGACTCCTCCCAAAAAAATACAGCCTTATTTCTGATTCTACCAATTTGGCAAATGACAACTTTACCAATGAGCTGCTGCCAGAACCTGAAATTTTTCCTTGCTTTCACCTCTCCCTTACCTTCCTTACATACCCAGTCACTAGAGTGTATCTCAGATGCATTCCCTCCTCTTTCTCTCTAGTACCTTACTGTCACTAAGTCCCCATTACCTTTGTAGAACTACAGCAGCTTCATGAAGAGTCTATGTGCTTCCTGATTACCTTTGTAGAACTACAGCAGCTTCATGAAGAGTCTATGTGCTTCCTGATCACTCTTTGGCAAGCACAGTACTACAACAGTAATCTTTCTATAGCACATCTGATCATTCACTCCCCTTCCAAACCTTTCATGGTTTCCAATCTTACTTCAGGTAAAAACTCATATACATAATTGTCACTCTGCTTGGTCTGTCTTTTCAGCCTTGTTTCCTTCATAAAACCCTCCTTTCACCAGCATGTGTCAGTGCCTCCCTTAAAAGCCTCAGGACCTTTCTTAGGCTGCTCTTACTGCAGTTCTATCCCAAGACCCCTATGTCCAGTCCTTATTCCAATGATTACTATTCAGATATCTTTTCTCTCAAAGTGACTTTCAGATGATCTGGAAGGTACTCATTAAGCACCTGGAGTGAATATCCTTTGTTTTGTTGTAGATATTGAGGATGCAGAAAGTTGGTATGGAAGGCCAATGCCAAAAGAAAGAGCAGATGCAATTATCAAATTAATTGAGAGCCAGATACAGACCAACAGGATTCTTGTACCACCAGCTCCTATTGAGGACTTACCTCAAATCAACATCATGGATATAAATATGACCTCACCCCCTGTTTACATAGCTGATGACATGGTAGGCAAAAATGTATAATATTAACTAAAGTCATGTACATCATCATTATGGTTTTTAAAAAATATTCCTTAATACACAGGAGTCTTCATTTATCCTGAACTCTGTGGATGAACCAGTTGGTAGGCAATAATGGAATTTTATTGATGATTCTAAGCAGTAAAGATCATTTTTGTCTCCTCTATATTAACTCTGAAATTTCTTCTTGTTTTGGGTGGGTGGGTTGGTTGGTTTGAGGAAAGTTTTATTTATTTGCTTTTTAAAATAGGATCTCACTACAGCCCAGGCTAGACTTGAACTCATTATCCTTCTTGAGTTCTGGAGTTACAGATGTAAACCACCATATATGTGATTCTGTTGGTAAATCAAAAATTTATCAAAGATAACAATTTATAAACCTATAAAGTAGTAACTCCTTTCTAAGTGTACTCCCAAGAAACTCTTACCACTTGACTTTTTGTTCTAGGTGTCTACTCAAAAAGCATGTGGTTTGGCTCTGGCTAAATTGGGCCATGAAAATGACAGTTATTGTGCTGGATGGTGACACCAAGAACTCCAACTTTTTTGACATAGTCAAGAAAGAACACCCAGAGAGATTCATCCAGTGTTATAGTGCTGAACAAAACATGGTGAGTGTATCATGCAGGTCTCTCAAGTCTTCTCTAACTATCAGTAGACTATGAAAGGCCTTCTACAGAAGCATTCCAGAGAAACAAGAGGTAAGTAGTCACCTAAAGTCAGAGAGGTGGTTTCTCTGTCTGCTAGACAGGGTGTAAACTGCCCAACACCCTCTGGGCATCCCACCCATACAGATTGAAAGCAGGCTGAGAGTTCTAGGTCTGAAATGTCCTAAGCTCCCTAGTAGCCCTTTCTGTCCCATCTAGCCTGTAACTAGGCAACTTACAGCCACCCAGGGACAAACAGATTGAGGAACTACCAGATATCTGTGAGTTTGAGGTCAGTCTCATCTATATAGTGAGTTCTTTGCCAGCCAGAGCTACATAGTGAAACCCTGTCACAAACAATTTCTTTTAATTAAAAAAATATCAATAGTTAAAAATTGTCAAAGAATTAAAAAGAAAGAATACTAATAGTTAAAGCTAGTACCTGGGCCGGGCAGTGGTAGTGGTGCACGCCTTTAATCCCAGCACTCTGGAGGCAGAGGCAGGCGGATCTCTGTGAGTTCGAGGCCAGCCTGGTCTACAGAGCGAGTTCCAGGACAGGCTCCAAAGCTACACAAAGAAACCCTGTCTTGAAAAAAAAGCTAGTACCCAAGGCAAATCTGTACCTCTGTTGCTGCCCAGAGTGATAATATGCAGAGAGTACCTGCACCATTCTCAAGAGAAAGGAGTTCATGTCAGGAAACCCTTAGAACTCTAAAACCAAGACCTGCCCACATAGAGGATGACAACTCTCTCCTGCCTTTACATTGCAGAGGCTAAAATAACCCTGAAGAGTACTTTTCTGGACAGGGAACTGGACTAGCAGAGCTCATGTGAATGTATTTTGAAACAAGTAGTCTGATATTTTAAAAAGATGAATTGCCAGCATTTAAAAATCAGATTTTTATGTAGAATCCAAATTTCTACATTCTCTTGAAAAGTAGAAATAACTGCCAAGTGGGTTGGCATTCCCTCACAATGCCTACTGGCTGGAGTCAAGCATTATCCCTGTTTAGATGGGCATTCCCAGCCAGCTCTCCAGGGGTACTGTACTCTGCTGGCCCCATTGTTCTTTTATAGCACTTCTCTAACCCACCAGTACTGGAATTTAAGCATACCTGTTACATAATAGGTCATCACAATATTCATTCTTGGGTCTTTTCATTTTGGTTTTATTGTGGTGTTATGAATTGAACCCAGGGCCTTGCATAAGCAAGGCAAGTGCTCTACCACTAAGCTACATCCACAGCAGCTCTTTTTATTTAGAAAAAAGAAGTGCAATCCTTATTTTTGTAAATTGACCTTCCTATCGAAAAGCTTGCTGGTATGATTGCTTCATTGATTACTTCAGTCAAGAGCCATGTATTCTGGGCCTCACTTTGGTAGGCCTCCAACTATTCAGCTGAAAATGAACCATACATTTTTGATCTTCATGCCTCTGCCTCCCAGCCACATTGCCTGGCTCAGCATGATTATTTCAGTTTGTTTATTATTTGATCTGAAGATTTTATATTCCAGAATGCCACCCAATATAAAATTAATGTAGGTGTAAGCATGTCTTTTAACAGTTTGTTAGCTGGAAGATAGTTGGTAAAAAGACAGTGGGGAAAAAGGCCATGGGCCTTTTCTCTGGCAGATAAATGTAAAGCCAAATCAATTAACATTTAAGTATCTTGATTTTGGAACCAGCCACAACCATCACCACCCCCTTGGAAGTTCTTGTTTGCTCCCAGAGGTCATGTCCTAGTTCAAACCTGCCTAAAGTATATGAGTCTGAAGTGCCAAGGGAGATGTAAAGAATAACAATATAAAGTGGAGGTCATTAATAATGTGCATATCAGGGGCTGGAGAGATGGCTCAGGCAAAAGATCCAAGTTTGCTTTCCAACACAATGCTGGGCAACAGCCTGTAACTTCAGCTCCAGGGGATCCTATGGTCTCTTCTGGCCTCCATGGGCACCCAAACACACTGACACCATAGAGGGTAAGAGGAGGGGAGAGAGAGAGATTTTTTTTAAATTGTGCACAACAGAGCAGGTTTAGACCAGTCTCCTAGAATCAATGGCCCAAAGAGGAAGAATGAACACAGAGCTCTGAGAACTCACCCTATATGCCCATCCATGAACAAGAGGTTTGCACACTCTAGCCACCTTCATGAGGCAGCAGGACTGGTCCTATTACCACACCACAGAAATCTGAAGCATGATGGATGGTCCTTGTAACAAAGAGAGGTAATTTGTTCTGAATACTAGTGAGAGGTCAATTGTTATGCCACTCAAGGTAAAGAGACCACTTGGAAAATTTTTAACTTTAGGGTTCTTCATGGGAATGGAGGCCTAGATGAAGTAGGCTAAGGAGAAAGTAGAAAATGAGAAAGTGGAGATAATGACTAAATGACTTTTTCAACAAATTTTCTGTGAAGTAGAACCAATGAGGGCAGTTTTTGGAAGGAAGGGTAAGGTGGAATGGGAAAGCAGAGATGGAAGATATTGACACATAATTAAATGATAACAGATGATTTAAGAGAAAGTGAGAAACTGATTGAAAGGGAAGGAGTGGTAGAATTCTAGTAAGAAAAAGGTTGGGATCCAGGATGAGCAGTGGACAAACCATCCACAGGGAGGAGCAAGCTGATGGCTCAGGGTGGAGGGCAGGGAGTGGATAGGCAGATGGATAGATGCTCCATTTCTTAACTTGGTCTCTAGGAGGTGTGAGGTTAAGTATACCACCTGAGGTGGGTAAAAGAGATCCAAGGAAGAGCATAGAAAAGAGGCATGCTAGGACTGCAGAATAGTTAACCATGTGCAGAGTAGGAGTTACATCATGTAGTCTCTGTGGTTTAACGGGGGAGGGGATGAAGCCAAATCCAGGGATGTTCTGCTTCCTGTTCTTTGTGTTTTAGGTGAATGTGGCTCTGGGCTGTACCACCCGTGACCGGACCATTGCTTTTGTTTGCACCTTCGCTGCCTTTTTCACCCAAGCATTTGATCAGATACACATGGGAGCCATCTCTCAAAAGAACATCAACCTTATTGGTTCCCATTGTGGGGTATCTATTGGTATGCATTCTGAATATCGTCATGTTGATAGCTTTGTTTAGACTTTGTATTTTCTTACTGTTCACAAAAGGGATTTATTTTTGAAAATCTTTATTGTGTTTTAGATGTTTCAGGTACTCTGGATACCAATCCAGATGAGACACATTACTGTAAAGTACCCATTCAGTCATTGAGGAATACTTTCTGCAGGCCTTTCTGAGATTTGCAGTATACTAAATCTGGAATAAGGACAACACACACATCCCAGAATTGTTTTCTGTGCTCTGTGTGGTCACAGCTAATTGGAATAAGCAGCTGTGAACAGCTGAACACACATTTAGGTAGAAGTAGAGCAAGGATTGCTGTTCCACATTTTTGCTTTGTGCAATGGGAAACTTTGAGGAATATGATGCAGGAAATTATGGTAATGAAAACTTCATTCTAATATCAGTAACCTGCCAGGGATTGCTGGAAACAGGAAAATCTAAGATAGGATTGAAGTAAGATGGGAACCAGCAAGAGGGTAGAAAACCAAAGGTGGCCCTGAGAGAGTAAAGAAAAGAATAAATGTTGCTGACTAATGGAAGGATCTGGAATTATATAAAAAGCAAAAAAGCAAGTATCCAGGAGTTTCTTAGTTGACAATGTCAGGGACTCCTGCTCATGAATTATAGAAATTGCATGGGAAAGATGAGTAAATTTGTGGAATAAGTCGTCTAGATAGTTGTGACAACTTACATCTGCTGCTAGATGTGCACTCAGGAACCATAAAGTGACTCCTTGGCAGAACTAAACTATAGAAAGCAGCTCTGGCTAGAGCTGGGTGTGAAGATAGCTAAGTGAATATGAAGCGAGGCACAGATGGTAGTCCAGGGAGCAAGTATAGCTGAGAGACAAGGCAAGTGAAGCATACCAGCACTTTAGCATGGACAGGGATAGCAGCTGAGAAAGTGCCCCCAAATCTTTAACCAAAACTGGGTTCAGTAAGAATTTGAAAATCAGGACAGCTACAGAGACAAATGGATCTAATGTAGAGAGGATCTGGGCTTCTGAAGTTAGACAATTGTCCTAAGCAACAGTGTACACAGGACACTCCTTTTCCCAGGAAGAAGTAGGCTCCCTCTCTGTATGTACATTGTGATTTCTGTACACTAATCCCACATACCCAAGGGCATACTTAGTCACAGCAGCATCTGAGGGTATCCCAAAAGTATGTTATCCGGTACTTGAAAGGCCTGCCAAAATGAATAAGATACTTCAATCTAGAAAAATCTGATTTCTTGAGAGTGAGAAGTAGAATAGAGCCAGAAATACAAAGCCTTGGGATGCTCTTAAGAAGAGGAGGACACCCCGTGTCTTTCTTGGGGTCCTGTTTTCCAGGTAGCCTCCCTGGTGATGTGAGTAGCAGTCCAGTCATCCTTGTTCCACATCTACTATCCACTTATGAGTGAGTACATACCATGTTTGTCTTTCTGAGTCTGGGTTACATGGTATGTACTCACTCATAGGAGGATACTAGATGTGGAACAAGGATGACTGAACTGCTACTCACATCACCAGGGAGGCTACCTGGAAAACAGGACCCCAAGAAAGACACGGGGATCGCCCAATGACGGAGAAATGGAAGAGGTCTACATGAACAGCCTGGACATGAGTAGGGGTAGTGAAGGGCGAGGGTCGAGGCAAAGAGAGCTTGGGGGAGCGGGAGATCCCAGCTGAATCAACAACAGAGAGGGAGAACAAGGAATAGGAGACCATGGTAAATGAAGACCACATGAGAATAGGAAGAAGCAAAGTGCTAGAGAGGCCCACAGAAATCCACAAAGATACCCCCACAACAGACTGCTGGCAAAGATCGAGATACAGCCCGAACTGACCTACTCTGGTGATAGGATGGCCAAACACCCTAATTGTCGTGCTAGAAACCCCATCTAACTACTGAGGGATCTGGATGCAGAGATCCATGGCTAGGCCCTGGGTGGATCTCTGGGAGTCCAATTATCGAGAATGAGGAGGGTTTATATGAGCGAGAATTGTTGAGACCAAAGTTGGATAAAGCACAGGGACAAATAGCCAAATGAATGGAAACACATGAACTATGAACCAATGACTGAGGGGTCACCAACTGGATCAGGCCCTCTGAATGGGTGAGACAGTTGATTGACTTGATCTGTTTGGGAGGCATCCAGGCAGTGGGACCAGGTCCTGTGCTCATTGCATGAGTTGGCTGTTTGAAACCTGGGGCCTATGCAGGATCACTTGGCTTGGTCTGGGAGGAGGGGACTGGACCTACCTGGACTGAGTCTACCAGGTTGATCTCAGTCCACGGGGGAGGCTTTGCCCTGGAGGAGGCGGAAATGGGGGGTGGGCTGGGGGGCAGGTGAGGGGGGCCGGAGCGGGGAGAACAAGGGAATCCGTGGCTGATATGTAGAACTGAATTGTATTGCAAAGTGAAAATAAAAAATTAAAAAAAAAAAAAAGAAGAGAAGGACACAGGATCAGAGACTGGGTAGGGCTGACTCTGGCCAGTGACATTTAGGTAAGAAAGAATACTGGGTTAACTTGAACAGTACTTCTAATACTGTGTGACCAGCCAACTGATTACTGATCTGAAAGATCATTTGATAGCCTAACCTAGAATATTTTAGTGAGCTTTCAAGGAAGATGGTTATGTAAAAGCTAATGTCAATTACAGCAAGTGTTGAACCATGCAGGGCTTTGCTGTAATACAGGGTGTTCTGGAGCAGTAAGAGTAGCTGCTTCTCAAGAACGATGGAAGGAGTTGAGAGTGGGTTCCTGGTAGGGTTGTGTTCATGTTTTTGTTGGTCTGTGGCTTTCTCAGGTGATGACAATCCCTATCACATGGCCCTGGAAGATCTGGCCATGTTCTGAGCAATTCCCAACTGTACTGTTTTCTATCCAAGTGATGCCATCTCCACAGAGCATGCTGTTTATTTGGCAGCCAATACTAAGGTATGTTTAAAGGATGCCAAATCAGAAATGGTTCTGAACTCTACTGCAAGTTTTGAACTGATGAGAGTTTTGTTTCTTTTCCTATCATAAAATATAAAATGTGATGCTAGATACTGAGGGTGCTAGCATATTGCTAGTATGAGGCCCTGGGTTTGATCCCCTGCACCATATTAACTGGTCATGGTGGTACACACCTAAAATCTTAGCATTCAGAAGATGGAACCAGGAAGGTCAAAATTGCAAGGTCACCTTCAGCTATATTGATAGTTTTAAGCCAGCCTAGGATGCATGAGACCCTAACAACAGGTGACTGTGCACATGAATGCATTGGAATTGTAAAACATGGAAAACTTACTATATAGGGCAAAAGAGATGGCTCAATGGAAGTGTGAGTACCAGAATTCAGATCTCTAGAAATCATAAAAATTGGACAGGAGCCAGGTGTGTTGATGCACACCTTTAATCCTAGCACTTGGACTTGAAAACGTGTGCATTCAAGTTGACAATACAGTTATATTTACACCTTCTCATTAGAAATGGCTGACTCACTTCATATTCACATATTTAAAGTCTTTCTAAGAATGAATCATTACAAACTATATTGTGGTGAAATTAATTTTTAATGTGTTTTGGGCTTTCTTGTCATCATGAGTCAGTGCCCCTGCCCTGACTTTTTGTTCCATGAGGACAGGAAACGTCAGTGCATATTTTAGAAATCTTCCCAAATCAAAAAATCGGACAACATGGAAAATTTATCACTGAGGATATCACTAGGGTCCTGCTTGAGATATTCCTGTCTCAGTATAATCTGTTCACTGGCAGTTGAGCTTCTTCCTCACTCCAGAGTCTGCATTTTGTTGTTAGTATGAAGAACTGTTCACTCTTCTTTCCTATTGTTTAATGACTTATTACTTAGAATTTATGGTTTGGCTTAATTTTCATGTTTTTTTTCTAATTTTGGGGATTATAATATAACATTTCTCTTCTTTTTCCTCCTTCCAAACCCTCCCATATACCCCTCCTTGCTCTTTTTCAAATTCATGACCTCTTTTTTCATTAATTGTTGTTGTTGTTGTTGGTGGTGGTGGTTGTTTTGTTGTTGTTGGTGGTGGTGGTGGTGTTGGTGTGTGTGTGTGTATACCATATATATTCCTAAATATAACCTGTACAGTCTGTATATTGTTACTTGGACATTTATGTTTTCAGAGCTGGCCATTTGGTATTGAATAACCAATTGGTGTGCTCCTCTCTGAGGACTATTTCTCCTACTCTTTGCATTCATTAGTTACCTGTAGTTCTTTGTGTAGGGTTGAGGTATCCTGGTCTTCCCTACCCTCTTCCATGTTAGCTCGTCTATAGTTGTCCTTGTTCAGTTGATGTTTTGGCAGTCATGTTGGTAAGATTTTATGAGTGTAGCTTGTGACATTTCTAGGAGACACAGTCTCATGGTACACTCCCTGTTCCTCTGGCTCTTACAGTCTTTACACCCCCTCTTCCTCAATGTTCACTGAACCTTACATTTGAGAGTGTTTTGTAGATGTATCCATTGAGACTAGGCTCCACAGCTCTGCATTTTGATTGGTTGTAGTTTTCTCTAATGATCTCTATCTGTTGCAGTTTGGTTTTTTAACTGCAGTTCTTGTTTGCACAGGAAATGTGTTTCATTCGTACCAGCCAAACAGAAACTGCAGTTATTTACACCACTCAAGAAACCTTTCAGATTGGACAGGCCAAGGTGAGGGCATAAGTTTTCCTGTGCTGTCCAATATCCATTATATAAAGAAATCCATTCTAACCCTTGCATATGTTCTGGTTGCTTTTCCATTAATAAATCTGTTTTGATCTTTTCCTGATTCTGTACTTCTTTCCAAATGGAATCTCTTTCGTTCAGTTTTTTGTTTTGTTTTGAGACAGTATCTCATTATGTACCCCAGGCTGGCCTCAAACTTGGAAACCTTCTACCTTACTGTCTCATGTGCAGGGGACTATAGATATGTGGCAGCACACCCAACTTTGTTGATTCCTTTTATAGGAGAAGGGTTTGTCTGATTTTTATGGTGCTAGAAATTGAGACTGGGTCTTTATACATGCTAGGCAAATGCTCTATCTCTGGGTACATTGCCAGCCTTTTTGTTTTTTGCATTTGTACTTATCAATTGTGTTTGTGTGTGGCAGGTGCACCACTGCATGCAGGTGTAGAGGTCAGAGGACAACCTTGAGGTGTGATTGGTTCTCCTCCTTCCACTATGTGGGTCCAATGAATTAAACTCAGGTCATCGGGCTTGGTGGCCAGCACCTTTACCAGCCAAGCTTTCTAGCCTATACAGTTGTCAGCCCTTTCTTAAAAAAATTTTTTTTCTTGGTTTTTGAGACAGGATTTCTCTGTGTAGTTTTGGTGCCTGTCCTGAATCTCGCTCTGTAAACCAGGCTGACCTCAAATCATAGAGATTCGCCTGCCTCTGCCTCCTGAGTGCTGGGATTAAAGGCATGCGCTATCACCACCCGGCTAAAGTTTTATTTTAAGGTAAGTTCTCAACCAAATTGCTCATGCTGTCCTTAAGCTTGAAATCTTCCCGCCTCTGGTTCCTGAGTGACTGGGAATTCAGATGTGTACCACTGCACCTGGTTTGTAGGTGAATTAACTAATAAATTTGATAGTCAGGAGCAATTTGTCTTTGAGATGTGTCTTTCCACAATAACCACATTTTGTTTTGTTGGTGCTATACCAGGTTGTCCGACGCAATGACAATGACAAGGTCACAGTTATTGCAGCAGGAGTCACTTTGCATGAAGCCCTAGTGGCTGCTGATGAGCTCTCTAAAGAACGTCAGTTGATTGTGTAAACATTGAAGTTATGGGAAGAAGTAGAATGTCAGCTATGTGATATACCCAGACTGATCTTTTCATTTTAACCTCTGAACATCCCTTATTTTGAGTTTGCTTCTTACACTAAGCTGATATTACTATTCTCCAGATATCTCTATCCGTATCATTGACTTGTTTACTGTTAAACCTCTGGACATTGCCACAATCATTTCCAATGCATTTCCACATCTGGCCGAATTATCACCGTGGAGGAACATTACCCAGAAGGTGTGTTGGATACATTGGATATGGTTTTGTAAGTTTGTTTTGGTAGAATTTTTTTTGGTAGAAAGTGTTTTTGTTTTGCTTGACTGGAGATACACCATGTTCTCTACATAGCCAACAATAGTTCAATATACCTTTGTTATACTCTCTACAAGTGCATCCATGTGGGGGCCTCTCAGCCACACAGAGTGGTTTCTTGAACATGGAACATTGTCTGTATATACTTTATGAGTCCCTATCATACAGCCCAGTCAACTAGGGTGGGTCAGTAGCAACACTAAGGTGGCTAATTGAGCAATAGACAGGGAAAAATTCACAAACACTTCTACAGCTTCTTTTGAGTATTGAATTAATAGTTCATTCCCCTGCCCCTTAAAAAAAACTAGCTCCTGGCAGAGAGTGGTGGCATATGCCTTTAATCCTAGCCGTTGGGGGGCAGAGGCAGGTGGATCTCTGAGTTTGAGGCCACTCTGGTCTACAGAGCAAGTTCCAGGACAGCCAGGGCTACACAGAGAAACCCTGTCTTGATAAACAAAAACTTAGCTCCTTGAACCAGGCTTGCTACACACACCTTTAATATGGCACTGAGTCAAACACAAAGGCAGGTAGATCTCTGAGCTTGAGGCAGTCTGGGCCCACATAGCATGTTCCAGATGACCTAGAGTGTCTTAGTTAGGATTTCTATTACTGCAACGAAACACCATGAACAGAAAGCAAGTTGGAGAGGAAAGGGTTTATTCAGCTTACACTTCGACATTGCTGTTCATCACCAAAGGAAGTCAGGACAGGAACTCAAGCAGGGCAGGATATTAGAGGCAAGAGCTGATTGATGTAGAAGCCATGAAGGGGAGCTGCTTACTGGTTTGTGTCATCCTACTTTTATAGAACCCAGGACCAGCAGCCCAGGGATGGCCCCACCCACCATGGGCTGGGCCCTCCCCCATTGATCACTAATTGAGAAAATGCCTTACAGCTGGATCTCATGGAGGCAATTCCTCAACTGAGGCTCCTTCCTCTCTAATGATTCTAGCTTGTGTCAAAACCAGCCAGTACAACTGACCCCTTGTCAACTTGATGCCCAAACACATCACTATTAAGCAACAATCCTTCCTTTCTTATTCATCCCTAAGATTTCACATTAAAAACATAAATAACTTTAAAAGTCTCACAGATTTTACAGATTTACACACATTAAAATTGTAGTCCCTTTAAAATATCCTATCTTTTAAAATTCAAAATCTCTCAACTGCGGACTCCAGTAAAACACTTTCTTACTTCAAGAGGGAAAAATCAGGTACAGTGTCAATCAAATCAATGCAAAATCAAATTCCAACCATCCAATGTCTGGGGTACACTCACAATCTTCTGGACTCCTCCAAATGACTTGGGTCACTTCTCCAGCTCTGCCCTCTGTAGCACACAGCTTGTCTTCTAAGGTTCCAGCTGGCTCCACTCCACTCCTGCTGCTGTTCTTGGTGGTCATCACCCCACGGTACTGGCATCTCTAAAATGCTGGGGTCTTTGTTGCAACTGGGCTTCACTTTTCACCAATAGCCTCTCATAGGTTCTCTTCATGCTGCCAAGCCTCAGCCTCTTGCATATTCTGGGCCTTCAACTGCCACTGAGGATACACTTTCACCAATGGCCTCTCCTGGCCTCTCACAGTGCCAAACCTCAGCTGTTCTCCATGACTCACCCCTTCCTGCTTTCAAAGCCAGTACCACCTGGGTAGCTCTTACACATTACCAAGTCTGGCTGCCAGGACAAGGTACAACCTTGGCCTCTTCTGGAACTCAGGTTCTCTGTGCTCTCAGGAAACACTTCCCAGAAGATTTCACCTCAGTGATGCTGGTCTCTTCTTAATCACCACTAATTTCTTAGCTCCAACTAGCCAGCATAGATTGTCCCAGTAGCATAAAGGTTTCACTTCAATAGTTCTGGTATCTTGTTAATCACAGCTGATTATTTAGCCCCAGCTAATCAGAAACACAGAATTTTAAATCAAAATAACAAACAGCCCTGATAGTCTTTAATCTTCCCTTTGAAATTTCACAAGCCAGGCCTCCATCTTCTGAACTGCTCTCAACATCCTTATCTTCCAAGCTCCCACAGAACATCCTACTGAGGTCTCAACACTCAATGCCTCTTCTACACAAAGTTCCAAAGTTCTTCCACACACAGTCCTCCCAAAAACATGGTCAAGTCTGTCACAGAAATATTCCACTATGCTGGTACCAATTTGTCTTAGTTAGGATTTCTGTTGCTGTGACAAAAAAAACCATGACCAAAAAGCAAGTTGGGAAGGAAAGGGTTTATTTGGTTTACACTTCCAGATCATAGTCCATCATTGGAGGAAGTCAGGACAGGAACTCAAACAGGGCAGGAACCTGGAGGCAGGAGCTGATTGATGCAGAGGCCATGAAGAGGTGCTGTTTATTGGTTTGCTCCCCATGGCTTGCTCAGCCTGCTTTCCTATAGAACCCAGGACCACCAGCCCAGGGAATAATAGCACCACCCACAATGGGCTGTACCCTCCCGCATTGATCACAAATTGAAAAAATGCCTTACAGCTGTGTCTCATGGAGGCATTTCTTCAACTGAGACTCTTCTCTCTGATGACTCTAGCTTGTATCAAATTGACACAGAACCAGCCAATACATAGGGATACATAGACCTGTCTCAAAAACAACTGGATCCTTGCAAACAAAAGAGGAAATGGCAAAAAGTAAGAGTATTTCAGGGAGCTAAGGCTTGGGCTATATTTGGGCCTAGAAAATAGGTAAAATAGACAACATTCTGTTTTTATGACACAAGACCCTAAGACCACATCTCACTGGGTATTTCTCTGGAAGGGCTCCCAAATCTAGCATGCAAGTGTGGGAACCTCTGGTAGAGATGGGAGAAATACCTGCCCCCATGAAGGACACAACACTTCCCACAATGACCATGTCTGTCCAAGGGTACACATAATTAGAGACTGGGCACCCCATGATTCTATTGAAAGCTGGTCATGTTGGCATCTTCTGCCAGACATTTGTACCAAAATTCACCTGACTCCTGGCAGAAAAGTGGGCATTTGTCATAGTCTGCATCACTTGCACTTGTATTCTAGGCACAAGGGCTACCCCATGAAGAGGGAGAGGTAATAGCAGTGAAAAATGCTTGTACCAGCCAAGGGCCACCCTATCAAGCTAGCAGCCTGTTACTTCTCTTTGACATGGTTCATTGTGTTTAGTGGTTTTCAGACCCCTGGCAGCTTTAAGAGTCCTAGTTTCCACAACCACCGCCCCCACTGCCAAATTACTGGAGACCAGGTTGAGATTAGCCCCCTGCTGTGTGTGAATAGGGAGATGATTATAAGATGTGGGATTAGAAATGAGAACTCTTTAAGCCAGTTGGAGCATGATGATTTGGGTGAATCAAAGACTAATGAAAGTACTTTGCTCGAAAACCAGCAGATTTAAAAGTGTATCACAGGACTTTTAAGGCTTACAGAAGAGATGTTAATATCCCGTTTTTTCCCTAGGTGGCATTGGGGAAGCTGTCTGTGCAGCAGTCTCCATGGAGCCTAACTTCATAGTTCATCAGCTGGCAGTGACGAGGTTGCCTCAGAATGGGAAATCCAGTGAAGCACTAGATTTTTCTGGAATCAGTGCCAGACACATCAATGTAGCTGTGAAATGCATCTTAATGAATTAAATTAGCTGTTGGTTTTTGTCTTAGAAGACTAGCCTCTTTTCTGTGTATTTATGCTTGTACCAAAACCATCACTTAGAAATGATTGTGCTTTGTTCTCCTTAAAGGCAAAACCAGCTAACACCTTTATTCCTCATTCAGTAATTCTAATTTCCCTTTCATATGTGACTACATATATGAATATTCATTGTTTTAACCATCAAAATGGGTTATATTTAAAATGGCAGAATAGCTAACAAGACAACCACCTGATACTGAACTTTCTCATAAGACTGCATATAAGTGAATTAAGGATCAATGTAGAAGTGACAGTTTAAAAAGTATTTCCCTCATAAGTAAAGCAAATATGTGTTGAATTAGAGTCCTCAGCCCAGCTTTCACAACACTAGACCCCTGAAATCCATAGTGCAGTTCGACTTGAGTTACCATGTATGCTGCCTTCCTACCTGCAGCTTCCTGAGTAATATGTAACTTCAGGTGCTCTTGAATTTTCTCTGCTGTTTCCCTTCATATCTCTTCCACAGTTCACAGGCTGGTGAACAGAATGAAAGCAGTTAGGATGTCTTGTGCTGTTTGTGATGACTGTTCTGTGAAGACACAAGGACACTAGTCTTGATCTCCACACTATGCTGTTTGATATTAATAAAGCATTTCAAAATCAGCTACTTTATTCATTTTGTGCCTTCTGTTCAATTTGGTTCCCCCTTGCAATAATCCTAAGGGAGAGCCTTCTATCTCAACCAGACTAGAAGGTGTAATGGGCTACAAACAAGTCACTCATTGTAAAATAGTATAGCCTTGAAAATCTACCCTAGTCAAATCTTCCATCAGCTGGAATGTAAGAAAGATGTCAACCAAATGAAAATGGGACTGAGTTTCAAAAGCATTTGTCAAATATGTCATATTTCTTATTACTTTCATTAAGTGGACATTGAGAATTTTGGGATACATGACTACATTGCTTCTGGAGTTATGCAACAATGTGTGGTAGATTTAACCTGGACTTGGTGCCATTAGAGCCTGCTCATTCTACTCCCACTCCTAGTCGACTGATTGGGTTTCCTGGCCTGTAAAAGGAAAGTCTTCATAAAGACTGCAAAATTGGGCTGCAGATATGGCTCAGTTGTCAAGAGTACTTGCTTCCAGATTTGGTTCCTAGCACCCACATCAGGTGGTTCACAACTGACTATAACCCAAGGTCCAGGGAATCTGACCCCTTCTTGCCTCTGGGCACTCACACACGTAGCATACATTCACAGACATACCATACATAGACATTTTTTTTTAAATAAAATCTTTAAATGACTGGGTATGGTGACACATGCCTTTAAGCCCAGCACTTAGGAGGCAAAGGCAGGAAGTGTTTGAATTGGAGGCCAGCCTGGTCTACATCATAGGCAACAGGCCAGCCAAGGCTAAATACTAAGATTCTGTCTTTAAAAAAAATTCAATTATTTTGTGATAATCACAGTAGTTTTAGAAAACAATTTATTCTGGGTCTGGTGACACGTATAATCCTAGCACTTAGAAAGAGGAGGCAAGAGGATTAGAAGTTCAAGGTCATCCTCCTCAGCAATGTAGCGAGTTGGAGGCCAGCCTATACTATGCAACACCTGTCTCCTGAAACATTTTTAACTTATTTCTCTGTCTTAGGGTAATCACTTTCTCATTATACAATTTTCTCCTTTAAATTATACAGTTCAGAGGTTTTTTTTAATGTATTCAGAGTTAATTTTACAACATTGATATCCCCCAAATTCCATACCCTGTTTCCCCTCCCAGCTCTTAGCAATCACTGATTTGCTTTTGTCTGGATTATACTTTTAGGGATTATTTTGTGAAAATAGAATTGGAATATATGAACTTTTTGTGTCTGGCTTTCAAAAAGCATAATGTTCTTTGTATTTATGTACATGCACATGGAGGCCAAAGGACAACCTTTGGTGGTGATCCTCTGGTGCCTGCCATGTACCTTTCTGGCCTGGAACTCACCAATTAAGCTAGGTTGGCTAGCCAGGGAGCCCCTGGGATCCACCTGTCTCTGCCTTCCCAGTGCTGGGATTATCAAGGTGAATCACCTTGCCTGACTTGTTTTACATGCGTTCTGGTGACTCACACTCAAGTCCTTGTTCCCATAAGGCAAGCATGACCTACTGAACTATCTCCCCAGTCTTGAGTGTAATGCTTTTGAGGTTCATTTATGTAGACTATGTTCATATTATTCCTTTTTTGAGGGAAAGGAGTCATCTCTTGTAAGCAAGGCTGGCCTTGAACTTGCTCTGTAACAGGGTGACCTTGAACACTTGATCTTCCTGTCTCTCTCTCCCAAGTGGTCATTACTTTTTTATGGTCACACAATATTCTTGTTTACATAGACCCTATTTTATTTAATCTTTGAGTGGACATTTGGTTTGTTTACGTTTTTGCTATTGTGAATAGTGACATTCTGAGTCATATATACAGATTTGTGTGTAGGTAACTATTTTCACTTCGTGTGTATGACTGCCTGGAATTGCTGGGTTCTATGGTAATACTGTTTGCTTCTTTGTGTGTAGTATGAGTGTGCTTAAACACAGTTTATGAAAGAATAAATAAAATAGGAAGACGATCAGCAATCTGTAAAGCAAATATAGAAGCCATTAATACAGGAAAGCCACGGTATAAATGTCTATGCATTCATCTGGAAGTGCTAGATTCAGTATGCCTGAAACTCACAGTGCACATTTACACTGGCAGTATAAATGAGTCAACAAATGTACTCAATAGAAGTATAATTCCAAGAAGCAAAATAAAAGCCCCAAAGGCTCAATTCTGGCTTCTAGATTATGCTGGGCAGAAAAGGACAGATAAAACCCAGAAGTGGTCGCTCACTCCTTTAATCCCAATACTCTGAAAGCAGAGGCAAGCAAGCCTGGTCTACACAGTGAATTTCAGGCCAGATAGGGCAACATAAGTGAGACCTTGTCTCAAAATTAAAAAACAAAAAGAAAGAAAAGGACAGATATGGTAATAAGGACTCAAGAGCCATGATCATAGAGAAGAAAATGAGTTCCATTGCCAGGGATTGTTGTTGCCACTGGGTAGCCAAGGTATATAATATCCAAGTGATGGGGGCTGGTGCACTAAGCATTTGAGGATGAAAATTCCTTAATTCACCAGTCTGGTAGTTTGTAGGCTCATGAACACCCTCTGAAAGGTGTCATGGATCTTTGCACTTGGAACCAGTCCCTGAATCTTCTAATTCCCTACCATGAAGAAGTACCCGTTGGAGTTTGGAGCCAGCTATCTGGTTTTAAATCTAGACCTGTTAGTGGGAGGTGATTGCCTAGGTAACCTTTATGTCTCTATTTTTTCATCTCTAAAAGGGATAACAGAACTGCCAATAGAGTATGTTTTGGGGCTGTGGCCAAAATTTTACAAAACTAAAACATCTCTATTTAGGCCCTCCATGTCCATCTATCTGGTGGGTTCCTACTTCCCCTCAGCTCCAGCCATATCCCAGTTGTCCCACCTCCTCAGCTGATCCTCACACTTGCCACCCTCCCGAAATTGACTATATTAGGGTAGCGGCGATTCTTTTTTGCTTTTCCTCTCCTTTGCTAGCCCCCCTCCTCTGCAGCCCTGTCTGTTCACCTGCCCCTTCTTTCTCCAGTTCCTTGCTGGGGCGCCCTCTACCCACCATTTGACTCTGCCTGGCGTTGGTATGTTGGGCCTGCCCGCGCCTGCCCGCAGTACCCTCCAATCCACAGGTGGGCTAGCGTTTCGTCATTGGGTTTTGTACCGTCACTCACTTGGCCACAGCCAATCATCCCACAAGAGCCTGAAGACGCGCTGGGCTAACAGCGAGGGTTAGCAACATGACCTCACAGTTGTGTGCTCCCAGCTACCCTGGCACCGTTCCTAACCGCTAACTGAGCAGCCACGAACAGGGGAGGGAGGACCAAGCATAGGGACACAGGAGCCGGGTGCGGACAGCTAAACAGTGCAGCTGGGTTTGACAGTGGAGTGATTGAGATGGTAGGTAAGCATGTGTTTACCACGGAGTGCAGGGAGTTCTTTCAACAGTCAGACCTTCAAAGCCATTAGGGTCTTGGGACAGAACCCTCCCTACACAGCACATGCACCACAGAAAAAGAAACTAGGGGTGGCCTGTCTTACCACGGGAAACCATGGGACTTTCATTCTACTGGTACTACTGTAGCCATCTTTTTCTGCCAGTGAAAAAACTTGTGGCTTTAGGATTCAGGAAGCCAGAAATGATAACAATTGTGATTCCCAAACTAGTTGAGTAAGACAAGCAACTAGCCAAAGAAATATTCAAAGCCAGAACCCAGGTACAGAATTGGGGTGGTAGTAATTTCAGCAATCTGAAGGCTGAGACCAGACAATTAGGAGTTTCAGGCCAGCTTGGACTGCATAAAAAAAATTTTTTTTGAGACCAGGTCTTGCTATATAGCTTTGACTGACCTGGAACTCACTATGTAGATAAAGATGGCCTACAATTTTCAGCAATCTCCCTGCCTCTGCCTGCCAAATACTGGGATAACAGACATGTATAACCAGGCCTGGAATTTTTTTTTTAAGTGCTAGGATGGAATCCAGGGCTTTGCATGTGCTAGGTAAGCAGTCTAACACTGAGTTAGATGCTCAGCCCATAAATCTTTGTTTTGCTGCGCCTCAGAAACCATTGAAGATTTTAGGGGAGTTGGGGTGGCTTTACATCAGAATTTGTAAACACCAATGAGAACTGCTCTCTGGGCTCATGGAACTCAAAAGAAATGTCAATTTTGATTTGTAAAGTTCATCCTGATGAAACAAAAAGAGAAGGGTGCTTCTCTTTTTACTCTCCTCCATTTCTCATCTGATGGCCTGTAGCTGGAGTTTTCCTGCCTGGCCCACAGTCAGGACAAATCTCTGTCACCTGCCAGTCCCACAGCCGTCAGACCCAACCAAGTAAACACAGAGACTTATATCGGTTACAAACTGTATGGCCGTGGCAGGCT